TGAAGCTACTCATCTTCCGCTCGATATTGTCGTTTATTGATTGTTTTAACATTTTATGATTGATATGAATGATGTTTAGGTCATGTGATGGATGACACACATTGGAATGTTTATTCGTCTACCAGATCTGTATTATATATACCATAGACGCATGGTCTGTAAATGAGAACTAGATTAGTCCACTGAAGTGAAAATAGATGGTCACGAAGTAACCAAAAAATGAATTTATTATAACTCATAGATAATAATGTAATAGTAAAAGGGCCTCAAACTATGTTTTTTTGAATATTTGTTAAGTAGTGGTAGTTTTGACGAGCAGCGAAGTCCTCAGTAACACACTTGCAATTCATATCACCCCACCAACCTATAATGATACGTGATTGGTTGTTTTCACTTTTCGCTTGCGATCTTGATTGTGTCCTATGATTAGAATTATTACCCTACAAACAGAGTTGTTCTATTACGATTTTAACTTCTTGTATTATAAAACTTTTCTTAAGTTCCTAAATTTTTGTCTTATTTGTGAGTTCTTTTTAAAGTATCTTATCCAGTCTTCCGATCTTTCATCGTTTGCCTAGATCCTATTACATAATTGACGAGTCGTCTAACTGTTTGTAATTCAGAATTACTATTAGTTATTTCAAAATAAAACTATATATTCATCTATTTTAAGATTGATTTTCATTTATCTGACTGAGCATATTGAACTGATCATTATTATACTTGTCTTAGATGAAAAAGGACTATTATTGCTGAGTTCATTACTATGAATGTGAATTTTCACATAAACTGATTATTACTTATTCTAGAACTATTTATCATCCTTTAATCGACCAATGGTTCATTACTCCTAATGAATCTAAACATACCTACAATAGGTGATAACATAATACCATTGAACATAATTATGTTATCATTTGATTAGTTTCAACTGATGTTTTTGTTTTACTTATAAAAACACACGCCTATGTATTTTAAAACTTTTCATTTATTTTGAACAGGACGTTCCATTCGATCGAATTACAGTCGTTGTACTAATTCATCAACATGTTATTCAACGGTAACTAATGGTAGAAAACCTTTTCGTTAATACAAAAAACAAACAAACAAGCAAACAAATTGAGAATTCAAACATTCAAAAAACTATCACTCTGTGAAAATAATTATATTGTGATAATAATATTCAGTGTTAAACGTTTGTTTTGTTTCCTATGTAAAACACTAAAAGAGTAACATAAGTTATTGTTCTTAAATACGTTGTTGTAGTGTGTGTGTGTGCGTATGTCAATAGAATTTAATCATCATGTGTGTAGTTTATATTTATGATTATTTCTAGAAATATCTTCATCTTTTAATCTACCTATCAGAATAACAAACATAATATACAAAAGGATATGAATAAACTAAAACTTATCCATTTCTTTTTTCATCCTATCAATTATATCCCTGTTAAATATCAATTGTTTTAATCTAACCATTCTCATTCATTGAATTCACTTGGTAAATTGTTTACCTCCTTTTATTTCTTTCCTTTTAATGACATTTATTCATTAATGTGTTCATTGTCTTTTTTAATTATTCTCTTACCGGTTAAAATAACATTACTTCTATATAAAAATTGTTTTTTTTTTTCAATTTTTGATCAGTTACATTTCACTATGTAATTGTTTGTTTGCTTTATGCGCTTACATTCATTCAAGTTCACTTCTTCTCTCTTTTATATAGATGAAGATTTGAATTTGTTTCAACTGATTGGTTTTACATAAAATGAACCATATCTTGTTTTATTGTTTTCAAAAGTGTATAATATATTGCATTATTTTAAAATAATAATAGATAAAGAAGAAAATAATAATAAGAAAATCGGTTTTGCTTTTATTGTAAATGATGTTGTTGTGAATGACTTTTCACCATATTATTTACTACATATCTATTCTCATATAAATTTAATTAAATAATCAAATGAAATCATATTCATAATGAATTGGTATATTAACATTGAAAATCACCAACGTAGATGATTTATGTCGAAATGATTGGAGGTCTACTGGAGTTAGACGTGAATGGTGTGACAAACTAGCTAACGTCGAAGTCACACCTCATGGTTAGCACCTTACGTAGACTACCCCATTGACGTATCAAGATATCACATGCTTTGAAGACTGTACAACACAGGGGACGTTATTACAGAAATATATTGGTTAAAGTAGATACAAACGAAAGTAAGACCACTGCCGCATGGGCCAGTCCATGGCATACGATTAACTGATGAGCGTTGGTTGTCCATGACCTTGACGAGGATCGATGATTTGCTAGATATTTAATGACCCAACTGCCGGATGATTTGGCTGGGGCTTAGTGACATTTCACTGGCCCTACAACATAATCAATTTTTCGGACCGTTTCACGTAGAGGCAGATTAAGATACCAATAGATAAAAAGATGATACTAATTAGGTAAAGTGTGTAGTAATTGGAAGAATCATAAGTAATGTGAAGGTTTATTGATGGAAAATTTACAAATAAAGTATTTAATGTATGGTTCTCATATTTTACGAAGACATTCTTTAATTTTGTACTAAACATTAAATTGGTTGTCTACACATGACTTCTTGTTCATTACAGTAGTAGAAAACATTAGGCATTGATATTATGGTTCAAGGAAACAGAATGAATCCAAGGAATAAAAATGTATAAGAAAATTAAGAGAAGGCAAAGAGTGAATGGATCTACGCCGTTGAGATCGATTTCGAGACAAGTGATAAGTCTTCAGATTGAATGCTAGATTCGGTTTTCATACTGTTCTAGTTACCTCCAAGCTAAATCTATACAGCGACTTGAACACTAGAGAAAAGGCGCAAAGTATGGGCGAAATGCTCTACTCCAAAGGTTCGGTTATGTACAGAAAACCTAGGATATTTATAGTCTTTTAGATAGCCTTCGGCTTCTGGAGCGTTACTAAACATAGTAGCAGTACAGGTAGTCATCCAATTACAAACGCGAAATGAGAATTTTCACTTTCTCGATGTTTCTAGCAAAACTTTATTGAATGCTGATTGGATAAGATGTTTCTCAACGTTTTAAGAGCCTTTTTCGAGGCATTTTCTGGACCTCGCCAACACATGTCACCCGATGTCTCTGATGGATGGTTATGAGAATTGCACTGAATCCAACCAAATAATCTGGACGTAGAAAAATAACTCAAAACAAAAGTCAAGTGACTTCATTTAATGATCGTGAGTGAACTAATCCAATATGGTTTTTGTCCCAAGTTTTACTACATTTGAAGTTACAAGCAATCTAACTGATACTACTGTATAAAAGAACTGCTCAGTTAAGTCTGGAACATGCAGCATTCTGAATGTTATTATCAAATAGTTCTAGCTACCAAAATGGTACAGATCAGTAATTAAGCACATGTGTAAGTTTTTAGTATCTAGTATCTTCGAAAAATAGTTTACATATGATCACACCGCTGATGAGTATAACTGAGACTGGGGGTTATGTACCAGATAACAATGGTAAGTCAATCGAGGATGCTGTAAAGATTTATTGACTCGAAAAGTTACAATAATGTATCACATATACCTAGCTACTTTAACGTGCAATGATATTAAGCTTTGGAGCAAGTTGAAAAGGAAAACCTACAGTTTTTAGGCATACAAACAAGCATATCCTGTACGAGTTCCTTGCCAAAAAAATTAAAATATACATTATATACTACTCATTTTACTGTTGAATCCTATTTTTTAAAAATGTGCTTCCTGAATCACGCTGTTAATTAGCATTCCTACGTTTTAACAGCAATATCCTGAAATTAAGACACTCGAATGTGTGTATAGTTTTAAAATTAAGCAATATATTACCTTACTAACTAATTAGCACAAATAGACGAAATATTTGAGGCGCGTTATCCGATTTCGTGTTATAACCCAAATAAATTATTTCATAGTCATATCGAAACTATTTATTTTTGTTTTGAAGTACTGTCCTATTGAAAGAATAAAGACCACATCATTTGCACTAGTTGGAATCCACTAATAACGCGTATCTAGTCTTAAGGGGATCGATGTTTTCTATTGGTTTTGAATTCGGATCACTCCGCTTTATGCTCTTAGAACTAATGTAATCAGAAATCATTTTGCATGTAGTAATACAGATTACGATGAGATTGAATTTCAACTTGCTGAAGTGACCACATGTAAAGCTTATCTAATAGATGTCATCTGATCTAAAATAACGAACATTATAAGTGAGATATATTTCAAATAATAGTTTGTTCTTAGGCCTGTTCATTCAACTTGTTGTCAACATGTAGATCTGTTAATTCCATCTGAATATCATAATTGGATACTTCAATGTCCATCAACATCAAATTATACCGTGGCCGAATCACTTTAAAATCTTCGAAATGTCTCGAAAATTCGTTTCTGTCACCTGAAATCTAACTTCAGTATTCCTGAGCGAATTCTGTGGAAACCCTTCATATACCTAGTGTCATGATTTGGTTGTACTTAAATTGGTCCTCTAGAACATGAGATTGAGTTTTAAATAATATTCTTGAAGATTTATACATGAACTGTTATATTTTTTTGTGAAATCATTTCAAATAATCCTACTTTGCGAATATCTAATCTACACGTACAGTTTCTGGTTACTTCACAGATTCAAATATATTACCAGTATAGGGATTGTGGAGATTATTAAGTTTTTGATTGAGATCATGAACCGATTAATGTTAGACACTAAAAACATTGGATGCCGGATCAGTGGTCCAGTAGGTTAAGCGTTCGCCCTTGGTTCGAATCCTGGGAGTGGGATCTTCAATGCGCACCGCTGAGGAGTCCCACAACAGAACGAGACGGCCGTCCAGTGCTTCCAGGTTTTCAACAGTGGTCTAACACCAATCGGTTCATGATATCAACCAAAAACAAATATATTACTTGTTTCAAACCTGAGTTATATAAAGTAAAATGTAAAAAAGAACCAGTCGAAAATACGGTGCTCATTCAAAATATTTATTTCAAAGTAAACCAGCTGTCAGATTATTATTAACATAAGATAAGAGAATTGGATTGCACAAGAGTGTTAAGTAACAAATTATTTATGTTAAACAAAAGACAAATTGATTTATGAAATCTTATTAGGAAAAAAAGAAAACAAAAACAACAAGAAACAAACCAAACAAACAAAAAAAACGTAATAGGATAAACCAGCACAATAAATAAATTCGTCATGGTGTAATGAATAAAAAAAAAGTAAGAAGACACAATAATGTTATGACTGTGTATTTCTTGAAAAATCAATATTTATAAGTGTAAACATATATCAATATATAAAAAAACTTTTTACCTCTGTTGATATGCGTATTACAGTTTCCCCGTTTACCATTCTTTACAAATACACAATAATAATAATAATCACATATAGTCAGTGAAAGACAATTACGATCATACATCTCCTTTTCCATAGAAAATTATGTTTTCTACAGTCACATATTATTTTTTTAGAAAATTGTCATCCTCGATTCAAAAAATAATAGACATTGATCTAATTCCAAAAACAACAACTTTTTAGAAAAACAAAACAGGTAGGATTTTCTTAATTGTAAACATATTTAAGGTAAGTACAAAAAAATACACACACACACACACACATAAATAACGTGGAAATATCAGTGAAAAATAAGGTTGGATCATTAAAAGAAAAGGTACATAAAGGTGTAAGTGAATGTATGTATGTTCACAAAAAATATAGAGAAGACAAGATGATGATAGTAAGAGAAGAAGAGGTGGTTATCACCATTGAACACTGTGTTCTGTACAGATAGCAGCTAATTCTTTACAAAAATCTTCAAATATAACTGCACATAATACCATTCTTTGTATTCTAGATATATCAAGTATTGAATTTTCCGTATTCATCATCATCATTGACATTATTCTATCTTCCGTGTTTACATTGGTTTTTAGCCGTTTTATTGTGGACAATCGAAAACTTCTTCGACGTTTTTGAGCATTGTTACCATTACTACTACTACTACCCCTAATAGTAGTAGCCTCCTGGTCAGACAAAATATTAATTAACTGTTGATAATTGCTGTCCAGGTCGATTAGAAAAGTAAACTCTGTCATTGGTTTTTGTAGAATTTGTGAGAAGTCAAGTAAATCTTTTGGATTTAATACATTAGTGTTAGAAGATTTAAGACGATTTTTAATTGTGCTTTTAGTATTTTTAAGATTGTTCCCAGAAGTATTGATAATATCGGAGTTCTTGTTATTATTATTATTAGATTTGGAAGAAAGGCTAAACCATTTCCGGAAATATGACCGTCTATTCGAATTCATCACTGCAATAAATTAATAGGACAAACAGAGAACGATTAAAAAATATGAATTTATCGATGTTTGATTGAAACACATAGTGCTAAGCTAATTAAATATATTTAGACGAAAGAGAGAAGTGGTGGATTCATTTTCAATGACTTAGCTGCATGTCGGATATTCAAATCATCTTTATACAACAAGAATTGTGAGGCATTTGAAATTACAACTTCAACAGCATACTACTGATAATATTTATCAATAGTTAGAAATTGTTGACATAAAATGATGGGCTAGTTTGAAACTTTTTTGAACATCCGTAGATAATTTGTGTACAATAAGAAATAGTTCATAATGATGAAACAATCGAAACATTAACCATATTAAATGGAAAGTTCACAACATTTCTCGAATAGAACTGAATTATTTCAGATATACTGACCAGTGTGTGTGATTTTAAGGACGAAATTAATATCATGTATAAAAACTTATCAAATGAATTTATTGCTAACAAAACAGTTGGAAACGATATATGGGAATTATTATGGTAAAGTATGTATTTAGGAAAAGTGGTGGTTTCTTAAAAAACACCACTAATTGACTCAATTAGATATATTACAATTAAATAAATTAAAATTGTATGTAATGGTGACAACATTTCATGGAACATTATTAAGTTAGAATTTATTTTGTATTGGTTGTTTGAATCTCCAATTAATGTTTGGGACTGCAATTGATCAACTTGTTATTGGAATATGTACATCCTGTGCAGATTGCCTCGATATCGCCTTAAATCACAGGAATTATAAGCACAGTTGAACGGTGCCTAGCAGCGGAATCCAGAACGCGCGTTTCGTCCTGATAGGCGATTCAGTTAACTAGTAGCGGAAAGTATGGTTGTGGATAGCGGCTCCACTCATAAATAATACTATGAAATGTTATGATAAACTGTTGTAAAACGTCACTATATAATCTAATTGGGTTACTGTTAAGAGTGTGCGAAAATTCCTTGATCGTTTTCAGAAGCCTAAAAGTTACTGAAAAAAACTTTTACCGATCAGGATTCTTTACAAACTTAAAAGAGAATTTCGGGAAAAGGAGGATCATTTTATCAATATTCGATTAAAAAATTCCCGATTTTTTTGTCAGTTTGGAAACATCTGAGACAAAAAATACTGTCATTCAACATCGAAACCGTTCTATTGTACTTGGAGCACTAATACAAGTATCATCAAAAATGTACAAGTATTTATAAACAGTAGTCTACGCAAGATACTCAAGAGCCTACTGTGAGGGAAAAAAACTAGCTTTCAGCTGAAGAGAAAATTAGGAAGATGCTGGAGGCGGGTAGGATATATATTGGGGAAATCACGAAACTGCATCCCGGGGCAAGCGCTAACATGGAATCTTGAAGGGAAACGGAACAGACAAAGAGCAAGGAACACATTATATGGGGAATCGGAGACAGACATTAAGAGGATGAATTGCATTTGGGATTAACTGGAAACCAGAAACCAGGACAGAGAAGGTTGAAGAATCCTGGTGAAAGGCCTGTGCTCCATGAAGGGTAACAGGCGTAATTAAATTCTGCAAACTTAAGATCACATGTAAAATAAAAAATACCATTGTTTTTCCTACATGCGATAACTTGGGATGTAAAGTTTCTACCAAACTCTCGGGCCCTCGGTTTAAGGTTGAAGAGTAGAAGGTTAAGAAGTTAGCGTCAAAGCTTTTAAGTACAAGACATATCAGCTACATTTTAATTTTGGATTTTCAAGAAAAAACAATGATGAAATACAGCGAAAACTCATAAAAATACTATCATGACTAAAAACTTACTAGGTGATATATTTTGTTTATCTGTCGTGAAAGTTTTTGATTCTTTATGCGAAATATTTGTACTTTTTAATTTTTTCTTTTTTTTCTCTACTCCTAAAGGTATTGTTGATGTATCCATTGATATTGATAATTTAGATAAATCAATTGTCTCACAGTTTAAATAACGACGTGCTTCTTGTTTTAATTCGTCAAAACTATAACCATTCAATGTATCCAAAGATCCGAAATATTTAACTTGTCTAGTATACAATACAGTGAATAGTTCAATTTGTTCTTTAATTAAACATAAGATATTATATGGTAAATAATAAAGAACATTATCGTTTATGGCTCTAAAGGTTTGAGTATTGAAATGTTGTGAATTTGTTGTCGCCGCCGCCGCCGCCATAGATTGTGCAAATTGTGTTGTATTTGTTAGGAACAGAATAGCTCGTAATAATGGTATAGGATAAGAGGCAAGACTAGATATTAGGTTAGTTAAATAGAGATTAGCATAAAAACAATTATTGGTGAAATTTTCTAAGCGATTGAATAAAGTGGTTAAAAATGGACCTGAAACAAAAGGAAAACGAGGGAAAAATAAATTAGTCAAAATAAAAAAAACACATATAGAAAGAATTTATACATAAAGTCTGATAATAAGTCAAATTTGAAATCAATATTCAAATATCTACCTTCCTAGAGTACAATCAATCAATAAGTCATGAGCATTGTAGAGACTAATAACCGCCTAAGATGCCACGCAATATAGATACATAGTAGTATAAATATTAAATCAGAAGGAAGAGTGATTTTATTTATGATATTAAAACTGATGGGAATAGACAAGCTACTACTGTTAAAATTCAAGATATAAATGAAGGCAAAGATTAAATGTATCTGAGCCATTGTTATTGGTCCTCAATAATGAGAACCAACGACCCTAACCAATGTTCATGATCATATTGCGGAGCCCAGCCGGGTACTCTGAACCTATAAAAATTCCTCAAACGGACAGTCAGTGATTTCATGGACTGATTGTTACTCCTGGCTAGGTCGTGAGCAGACTATCACGCCAATATTTCAACACAAACTACAGAATATTTGAAGCCACATTCTACATCACGATGCACATATGGCAACAGAAACTGATCAGTGGAGGTTCTAAATATTGGTAACGGAAAATTATATACTGATACAAATATATCTATACCCGTTGTACAAGTTGATGGCTACATATACTCAGTAGCTTGTTGAATAATACATCCTCATTTGCAGTGAAAAGAAGTGGATTCAAATCTGATAAAAACCCGTATCAAGAATTTCCGAGTTAATAAATGTACAACATTAAAAACACTTTCAAGAAAAGCTCCTGTAAGGTAGTAATTTCACACAGATGCAATTCCAAGCTAATCCTTTGACTGTCAAACACAAAATCTTAGCTTGATCATAGTCAAGTAGGCTACTTGGCTTGATAAATATTATCTGTTTCGAAAACAGAAATTAACACTGTTTGTACACAAAAAAACAGAAATTAATACAGTCTATTAGAGGGAAAAAGAGTGACATAGATAACATAGTGAACAATGAATAGAGGATAGAAAAAATGCGTCAAACTGTGAGATTGTGATTGGTGAATAAACAAGAGACAGTCATTCAAAGTCAAAGAGAGTCAAGTTAGTGGTGCGCATTTAGTACTATGATTACATTTTGTAGCTCCATCCTACAATGGCGACTGAGTACGTGAACTATTTTATAAGATTAAACAAACATGTTAGCAGTGACTTTCTTGAAAAACACAAGTCGGAGAAAATTGTACTAGATGATGTTAATATTCAGTTCGATATGAATATATGTTAAAACGAGATATGCAAATTCAGTTTATGAGTTCAGTTGGTTAATTACTTAGCAAAATTCGGAACTCATAGATAAGATATGGTTAAGGTATTCGACTTTCAACTGACAAATTGCAGATTCAAACTCCATTTCATCTAATATATTTCGTCAGAAGGAGTTTTGTGGACACTTTAGAAAGTTCAATAGTTGAGATCATGAGTCAATTGAAGCTAAAGCACCATGGAAAACCTGGAAGCATTGGACGGCCGTTTCGTCTTAGTATGGGACTCCTCAGAAGTGCGCACCCCGCGAGATTCGAACCCAGGACCTATCAGTCTCGCGCCAGGCGCCTAACCAACTAGACCACTGAGCCGACATCCAACGGTGTTAATGTCTAACTTCCACCAATCCACGAAGTTGCGCCTTCGTACACCATTGTCTACATTTCGGGAAAGAATCTATGTACTTGGTAAATTCATCACAAAAAGAGATTCTGAATCTATTGAATAGAGAAAAATGTTCTTTACTCAAAAATGTATGTGATAATGAAGATTTATAGTACATTATTTGATCGCTTTCACAAACTAATTATTATCTATCATCAAAAGAAATGAAATACATATTCAGTTATGTAAAATAGTTTATATCTGAGAAAGAAAAGTGAAAATAACAAACTCTTTAAAATAACAATTAATGTCAAGCTAGAATATGTTTTCTTCGAATCCGTTAAAAAAAGAGAAATGGATTATTTTTTTTAAAAAGTTGTAAAATTCTTAATGACAATTTCAAAAAACTTACCTAAATTTGGATAATTTGTGCACGAATCCATAGAGTTTTTATGAGTAGTATTAAAATCAGTAGTATTAGTACCAGTATTATTATTATGATTATGATCAACATTCAAATCAATATCATTATATCCTAATGATTTATTATTATAAGGATTTTGTGATAAATTTGGTCGTATTGTTTCTAAATAAACACCTGATGTTGTTGATGAGATTGTAGAAATACTTGATTTTTTATAAGGACAATTCATTTGTACTCTTGATGGAGATAAATGACATTGATTATAATTTATTAAATAATCTCTATTCATCTCTTTAACTTTTTCTTTGGTATCCGTTGATGACATTAAAACTAATGAACATGGACTATTAAAATTATCATGACTGTTTGAATCATTCATTAAACGAGTTTGTATAAGGTTATTTAATGAACCATGATTAAAACCCATTTCACAGTAATTATCACGGTGTTGATGATGATGACGATCACGATTATGATTATTATTGGTAGTAGTAGTAGTAGTAGTAGTAGTAGTAGTATTGCTGTGAAGTTCATCCCTAGTTAAAGATTTCGCTCTTTGAGTTATTTTATTACAGCTCTTGTCTAACTGCAAATCGGAAAATCCCTTTGTCGAATATGCTGATGTACTTTTCTGAGGTGTACACATTGGATATGTTTCAGTTAAAGGTATATCAAACAATTCCAGTTCATGATTATTTACTTGGTTGGGTAATATTTGTAGACTAGGTGCTTTTAATCGACCAAATAATTTATCAAAATACTGACATGATTCATCTACAAAATTATGTAAACTGGATAAACTATTACATCGACCAATGTTGTTGGTATTTCTAAAATACTTTTTATCAAATTTTAACTGTTCTTGTCTTTCATCCAGTATGTTAAAGTTAGTCATCAAATGTTCAGGTGAAAAATTCTCTAGTTTTTTAATAAATTTATTTAATTCACAAGATTTGTCTTCACTATAATAACAATTATTGTTACTGTTAGAATTCATAAAACTTGTTATATATTCTTCATTGTGTAAAGTTTGTTCCGGGTACTCTGATGGACCACCTACTAATGATTGCGGATGCGTTTCCTCTTGTTGAATTTTACTATTCTCTTCAATATTAGTAGTATCGATAACATTGTTAAAAGGGTTATGTACATTCACCTGTTCGTTAATATCGAATGAATCCAGGAAATTAAGATAATACCATGATTTAATTAGAGATTTGTCATATAATTTCGTATGAATGGATGTCTCAGTTGAATTTTCAAAGGATTCTTTAGGTTTCTTAAAACATGTACAGAGATTATGATCAATGGAACGGGACATACATATAGGATTTCTTACAGACACACTTTTATGAATTTGTTGATTAGAAAATAATTTCTCATGATACGTTTGTTGTTTCTGTTTTGATTGATCTGTATATTGATCACTTTCAGCAACCGGAGGACAATCATCTAAATTTTCCGATCCATCTAAATCAAGATCTGTGTCAATATTCAATTTTGTCGCTGCGTTACACAATGCTTTCGCATGTAATTCATTAGCATTTATTTCCAGATCACGATTTGTATAACAATTTCTATTAATAAAACATTTATACTCTGTGTAAATTTTATACGGATCTAAACCGATACGACAATCATATTCAGAGAATTTACGTGTTTTTTCATAATGTGTTGTACTCTCTTTCTCAGTCATTTGTAAATTCTTTAAATTTTCATTTAATAAATTAATTTGTTCATTAGTTGGTTGATTTGCATCAAATGTTAACTGCCATGTTTTACAAGCATGTTTACGTATTTTAATAGTTTGATGAGCCCATGATGTGTAAGATAACCAATCAAGCATGGAATTTGATGAATTCATTGTTGTATCATTATTATACATAGAAGAAATTGAAGATGGTGGTGTAGGAGAAGAATGATTAGAAGATAATTCTGTAAGAGATGTTTGTTGTGTAAGTTCATTATTGATATTAACAGTAGTGTTATTATTGTTATTAATATGAAGTGAAGTATGTTTGTTACAATCTTGTTTATTAGTCAATTGAAAATCATTTTGATAATAATTATTAAAAATTAATGATGAATTCGCTGTTAATTCTGCATGAGGAATTAATAAATGACTTGCTAAGAATTGACTACCAACTGGAAGATTATTTATTTGCATAACAAATGGTTCATTTTTAGAGGCTATTAAAATAGAAATTCAATGAAATGAACTAAGAAAATAGCATAATATTTAATTTCAAAAATTCTTTCATCAGAATCTTTCCTCTTTCAAAACTCATTTCATCATACAACCACCAAATGAATTAATTCAAAAGGAATACAAATTGGAAATCTATGTGATACTAAAAAACAACTTTCTAGGAGTTCATTAATTCAAGTTTAATTTATGTGTACAAAATTATCCTATTTAATCTCTCATCTTACCATGGTATTAACCCATTTTTCTATCTTTCATACTTAATATTTTTATTGTTTGAATTCTTTTCTAAATATTTTTTCAAGAATTATTAATTAGTTGTTATTACAAGATTTAATTATTCATTTATTCGTATTGATTTAGTGAGCCATTACTTTTCATCTATAAACATCTTTTTCATCGGCTGTTAGATCACTGCATAATCTCCTTACTATATTTAATATTTCTAAACAATTTTTGACGGCATAGATTATTAAGCTTTGATTCTGTACCTTCATCTAGGATTAGTGCCGGTCCCATATTCGGATAATGGAAGAGGGTCAGACGTGAAGTTAGCAACACCTTGCTATGAAAAAACACCTTGGTAAAAAAACGCTTATTAGAAAAAACAGTTATAATGTTTTAATGACATCAAACCGAAGCCTAATTTACTTCAATTATCCACAAAATGAACAAAACGTGTAGAGTCTGTTAAAAAAATAAAGGCTAAATAACTTCAGTCTTTGTAATGCGATACCATTCGTCTCTCAAGACACTGGTAAATGTGTTAAATTAATACCAATACAATTGTAAAGCTTTATTAATGGATATTGCTGGAGAGGAAATATTCTACACTGAGTTCTCTTTAACTCTTCGTCAATGACACTATCGGTTGCATGCACTTGTGGAGCAGGTTGCAGTAGCCACACAAAGTTAAGGCTTTTTAAATGTATCTCTCAGGCATTTTCCTTCATGGCTTTGGAAAGGCGAATGTAAAACAATCAACAGTTCAGTATTGTGACATTTTGTCAATTTCGATCGCAGCTCACAATTATCTTAAAAATATTTGCTTTCTGGTACGTCCTCGAATTGATTGCGGCTAATATAGTATTCGGCTATCGGTGATCGAACGCGTGGAACCCACAGTCGCGAACCAAAAGAATAAGAGGAAAGTAGGAGAAGCGGTTATTGAGTAAGTGGTTGAATAAATTATAGGTTAATTACGCTCAGCTATTAATTATGAATAGAGTGGTCTTGAGTGCTGTTAGCGGTATGAGGGTGGTTATCACTTCCCAGTGGTTCACATCGTGGAAACGTTCTTCTAGAGGTACCTGGAAAATGGGATTAAGTTAGGAGTGGTTTTAGTGATCTGAAAGCCTGACTGCAGTGCCCAAGGGATGACTGTTTGAGGCCAGTCACACATGACCTTTTTATGAGTAATTTTCGTGTTAGCTCCGTACTTATTGAGACCTTACCGCCGGAGAAGGATATCCATGAGATAAAGCGAGGTGTGCATTTTTAGGGTCGATCTTTTCTAACCCCACCCTTCCTTTGTGGGCATCATTGATTTTATGCTGGTTGTTTGGAAGCAACGCCTTGCTGTCACTATGCCCCTGTACAGTTGGTAGTACGACTTCGCCCTCGGACCTTAGGTTTGCTGCTTTTAGTTTACCGTTCTTCAACCGATCTGCCTGGCAAGGTAGGACCTTGAAGAACGAATGTTCCAGCCAGTATATTCCGATCGGTTCATCCCAATGAACAAGCCCTACCTCCATGTCAAGGTAGCAGCAACGGCTGGGATACTCAGTTGCTTGATGGGTAATGAGTTGGGGCTTGAAGAAGAAAACAGTGGGTTCACGTCACAGTGTGTACGTCAACACTGAGATGAATGCGAATCCAGGCGACGAGTTCAAAATCGGACGATATAAATGTCTTGCAATCCTACTACTAATGTAGTGAAGAAGAACACGGGTGGGGACAATCGATTATATTTAGCACAAAAATTACAGACTATCTCAGTAAAATGTTAATACCATAAAGTCAATTGTCAATTTGCAAAATATCATTCCATCATATCAAACTGTACTGTCCCCGTTGCAAACACTAATCCATTGTCTCCCATTCCATTGTACATGCGTTTTCTTACAATTCCATTGTGCTCTTGCTCTTCCTTTCTTGATCTTCGCCATCTTCTGCTGCCGGACATTACGTTCTTTTAACGCACGTTATATACTACTTATATCAATATAAGTAGCTCACATCACACTAACTAAATGCCAACATATACTAAAAGTTGAACACTGTTAACATCGAGTTCTTACATTCAATAATACGTCGAATTTCATTAAAAAGACTTTAATGACAAACAAAAGGTCCTACTGATCCACTTGGTGAACATCTTATTAAAATTGAAAATCAAAAGAAATCGTCTTTTCTAAGTGTAAAAAGAATTCAAGAATACTGTAACAAATATGGATTCGTATAAAAAAACTATTGACTACTGTTGTTACTCTAATTTGTGCATTGTTTGAGAAATTTGTGGAAATTATTTTTTTATCAAACATTGAGATCGATTGGAGTGCTATTATTAAAAAACAGAGTAGTAGAAAATTGTGTTCTTTTAACCCCTGACAAAAGCAACTCTCAATCAAATCAACCAAATTAATGTAATCGTATTCTCACTAGTGGTTCACATCTGGAGGGACTTGTGAAGTTCTAGTGAGGAGTTTGGATTACGTGGTAAATTAGAAATGTTTAAAAAAGACATATAACACTACAAAGATTGAGTGATGGTTAAATTATGCCGTGAATTAATTAAAATTGATAAAATGAACCATTGAATCTTAACTTAGTAGCTTAAAAGTAATGAGCTCATTGTATAAGGGTTTGAGAATATTCAGACATATCATGTGTATTCTTAATCCCAAATGATAAGTGAGAGAGTACGTAGGATGCATGCGACTGAACGAAGTCGGTCATATCCTAGTAAAGGTCTCATCCCATGTGTCCCTACTTAGTTAAGAGAGGATAAATGTGTAATAACCATGATATTTATATAAATTATAATTCAACCTGGCAAGTAAGCCTTTCTACTTCTATCTTCTCATCGTGGATTGGTTAGTCGTAAGAAGTGTGTATGACTGAATCAAACAGTTCAACATAATACTTTGAAAGCTGAAAGTTCACAGTTTGATTCAGAAGTGTTTGCTTGTGAGTGTAGATAGCTGATAAATCCCAAACCACTATTCTCTAGTTTTTAATCGCAATTCACATATTATCATCGAAAAATACCTTTAAATGTAGTTTTTGGAATATAATCTGTCAGGTTTCAGTTTGTACGAATTATATGCTTAGAATAAATGGATTTAGAATTTGATTCAAAATTTCAAAGAATAATGAAACAGTAGCTAGAAATAACTGAATGTATGGAATGAGAGTAAAAGGTATGTTGATTCGTTAAGCTTTGTTATAATCTAAAATCTATTCATGTATACGTATCTAAAAGAAAGAATCGGTAGTTTTCAGTCAAAATTTAATATAGTGGTGTCTTTTTGTACAACTGTACTTATAACACTTAAAAAATCTAACGTATTGAATTTCTTGTTTTGCTTACACTCTTCTATATAGTTAAATGGCACAACAATTATTGTAATTTGTGGTTTTACATCACGGACTAAACACGATTTGTTAACCATTGAAAACTAGGAAGTATTGAACAGTTGTTTTGTCCTAGTATAAAACTCCTCAGCAGTGCGCATCCAACACTCCATTAGTCATCGAACTAAGGACTTTCGAGTTTAGAGACGAAAACTTAACCTTCAAATCACTGACTTGGAATCTAATATTTTACGTTTCTAATTTCAGTCAATTTGCGAAATTGTACGGCTGTAACTCATTGTCACTAACGATATTTGTTTCACACCCGATGTGATTAAACGGTATTATTATTTAAAGCCATATATCATTAATATTAATATTATTAGTATTCCTATTAGTTAAAACAACAGTGAAAGGTTTCATTAGTGAATACCTTTTTTGTCATTTCAACTGTCAGTAAAACAGTTACGCCTCATTTATATTATTTTTAATTGGTAAGTTTTTCAAACATTTTACGCTTTATGATTAATTAATTTTATTACTGCAATTAAGTATACAATTAAAGTTTAGTATGAGTGAATGATTAAGAAAAATGGCCATATACTTTACATACGATTTCCTACTTACTAGTAGTTATCAATATGATGTATCGATATTAAAAAGACAAAACATATTGAAAAAGCTTAGGCTTTTTAAAAGATTCGGATTTGAATTAACATTCAAATTTAGATAGAATCATCTTGCTTTATTTTAAATGAACGATCACAGTGATTATTTTAGTTCTGAGTGGGTTTAGTCGTGAAGAGAATAGTTCAGCGGTAATATGTTTATTAATGTATGGATCCAAGTCTCTGTAAAATGTGTTTTCTTGAAGTGACATTTAGGACTTATCCTTTAAACATGTTAATGGAATCTGCTTATGAATATACTCATCAGATTTTAGCCCTTAAAAATGACTTAACGTAACGTTTTGAAGCATCTAGATCGAAGTTTAAAAGGTTAATTGTTTCATTTGTTTCGACATTAAAGTAGCTAATTACCACAGTCATTTGAAACTAACAGATTGGTAAGCCGGAAAATATAAGCCTGAATGATCATTTAGATCACAATTGAAATCTACTCACCACTGGCATATAGTAAATTTTACAATCTGAAGAGATCCGCACTTACAATGCCCATATTTTGTAGAGTCAGTAAGTCTAAAATTTAGATATTAACTTATGAATGGAAATTTTGGGTCAGTATTACATCTAACAACGAAAAGCGAGTTTTAATTAAAATATCTTAGTGAAGCAAACGGATTACAGTTGCAAACATTTAAGTGATATAGTGGTGTTTTTATTGCTGATTATTATGAAAGCAAGTGTTAATCCCAATCATATATTATGTGTTTCAATGGAAACCATTTTCGCCTTCTTTATACCTTTGATTAGGTCTTACTCAATATCTACAATCGTGTGGCTCATTCATAAAAACATTTTACTCGACTTCCATATATATATATATATATATATATATATATATATATATATATATATATCGTGTTAGTTTGAAGTCAGTTAATAAGAACCAACTTACAGTATGGTTCAAATGTGTGTTAGCCTACATTTCCATTTTCATATAAGTACGACAAGATGGAGCAAAATAAATAATCAAGGAATTATAATGATCGTAGTAGTAGTAATGGTATGGAGAAAGATTTGAAAAAGTATTTGTGCAGGAAGAGTGGGACTCAATATTTAGGTAAATATTAAGAGTAAATGCTTCTGGAATACTGAGACCAACTTTGAGTTATGCCACTTAGTGTCTTTAAGTACTCATCACCATATCTTAGTTCGACCTCCTCAAGATTTCTCCTAACTTAGATCTACTGCAGCCAACATTGAAAATCGAGGTAGGTGATTGTGAAGCATACGTATTGCATATCTCAACTACTTCAGTCAATATGGATTCACAACCCCATCAACCCATTCATTATTTCTATAAAGTACACTGCGTTTAACTTTATCACTGATCACTCAGTCGTTCTACAATACACGAGTAATGGTTTGAAGGCATCTATGATGAAATTCTAGTAGCCTACGAATATCCTCTATTTTTAAATACCACGTTTATATTAAAAAAAAGAGAAGGTGAAACGTGTTACAGTATACTAGTTTTTTAGCTGATAGACGGACAGATTATTTACTTCAAAAAAGACACCAACTTTACTTTTTTTTAATTCATGGTGTAATTTCATCGAACAATAAATTCAAACAACTGAACAACAAGAATATATACGTAAACATCTTACCTAAAACTTCAAGTCCTTCATCCTTATTGTGTAACTCTTTAGACAATGATTGATCTGAAGAGTAGTTAAACTCCTCCACATTATCAATATCTAATTGAGCTACAGTATTATTGCGATGATTTGGTTGGCGTTGTCGATTTTGTTCATGCTGATGATAATGATAACTATTTGAATGATGAATAATACTTTCATCTCTTGTTGCATTAAATCTGGCTGAATCTAGATTAAATCTCAAAGACGATGATGAGGAGGATAAATTAAGTAGTTTTGTTGATGCATCAGTTACACTACTAGGATCTGGCCATGTCCATCCGATATTGAATAAATGATCTCTAACTGAAATTAAATGCCTTAAAAGTAAATAAATACTAGTGAAAGAAAAATAATTATTTTATGACAACATAAAATGGATACTAATCAAATACCACAGCACCAGCCTTCAAATTCCTGTGTCTAACAAAAGTTCGAATTATGGTATTATGGCCAGTTCAGAGGATCAAATAAAAAAATCTTACTATTAATTATCTGGGCTCGATAGCACTAGGATTTGGGATGGAGGAAATATGCTAGGTTTAGGTCACAATGTGAAAACTAACGCCAGAAAGCATACACAACTAGTTAACGAGTTGCAAATATAACGACACGCGTGTCTTCGATTCCACTGCTAATCACAGTCCATCCATTCTATTAAACACGTGACAAGATGTCAATCCGCACATAATGTGTATGCCTCCAAATGTTCTCCTGCGACCGAGGGTGGGGAGATTCGGCTCTCCCTCTCTAAATGTTCCCGCATGACCTCGTGTATACAACAACTACCAGGGGAGTATTACTCACTTCGTTCTCGCAGAGGGGATGTTGTTTACAGAAATGAGAGGACGAAAAGTGAATATCCAGCGCTTTAACCGAGTTGGTGGATGTGGAAGATCCACCTAACGAATTTGAAAAATCCTGATTCGAAACCAATAGTGCACATACGTTTAGGATCCTGAGGAAACATAAATGGTGTATGAACTGATTGTTGATCATCGGCTATCATGGGACTGGATCTCCTAACGTTACTCCATTGTCTTGTGGATTAGACCTCTAGGTCAAAGAGTCGAAGAGTGGCTTCCTAAGAAAACCACCTTTTTCGGTTTAGGCGCAAGGGCGGTATTCCATCCTTTACACAAATCAAATGACGCGGTGTGGCGCATATATATTTTGGTAGCTCTTGTGTCGATGTTTATGTGCTTAAATAAATTAATAAACACGATGTATATAGAACAACAAATACTAACCGAGTTGCAGTCTTGAATGTTAACAACGGGACAATTTAAATCCTCAATAATAATAATATGTTTCTTTGAATACATTTTTTTATCGGATATATCCTTATTTCAACGTCTATACTCTATACATAGTTGATTTTTTTCTTGTTGTGACAACACAATTGTACCAGATCCCGCACATTCGCTATGACTAATTTAACAATATCATCTAAGCTATAATGAGCCGGATAAATAAATTCTGGACGAAATAATCGTGAAAACAATTGGAACTGTCTTATTAAGTGTACAGATTATTACCATGTTTCGAACAAGCGTTATCTATTGATATGATTAGTTTAACAACTACTGATATTTATGTCAGTAGTACTCGTTGTTGACAAACTCGAAATAATAATTTTAAAATTTAATTCATATGAAAAAGAACTTCATGTTTAAATATAACACTGAGTGCATTAATATAATGCTAGCAGATAGTTATAATGATCATGTATGTAGAAGTTTTTTTCCATTAAAAAAAACCACTCGGATCGTATTGGTTAATTTCAAGGACATTCTGAGTGCACGTTTTAATCAAGCTAATTCATATCATCATAGACAAGTAAATGCTTTAATGTTGTCTGTTGTTTAACCTTGAATTTTTGAATATTCCACTTTTAAAGGGAATCAATATATTTCTCGTTTAACAATATAGTAAAAATCAAATTTGAAGCATGTTTAAAATGCATAGAATTACGCCACGCCTATGTATAATTTCAATTGATTAGAATAAACAACCGTTATTGTGTTTGAAATGAGAGGAAGAAAAAAAGAGGCGAAAGCAAAGTATAGGAACGAGTTAGTTAGAATCGAGAACAAAACTTTTAAGTTTTTATGCGAAATTCGAATATCGTGTATGAAGAGCAACATGCTTAGAATGACGATGAAAAATTATTTTTGGCATCCAAAGAAGTAAAAATGCCTAATTCCGTCTTTACAGATTGTTTTATTGTCATTAGATTAACGTTATTACTAAGTTCTAACCCTTAATTCTGAAACAAATCTAAATCTGGTGGAACAAGATTATATGGATGAACTAATCAGATAGATCCTCTGACATTTTTGTTGAAAAATTCATTGCTCTTTATGGCTACAAAAATTCTTACATTACATCTAGATGTCAGTTCGTGGTAAAAACCTTAAACCTCAACCCTGAATCCTGATTATCAATATTTAAACCTAATTAGGCACAATATGTGGACTGTTAAAAATTTGTTAAGATCATTTTAACAGTTTGACAAGATGGATAATGTTGATCTAAAAGTACAAGTATGTATGTAGTTATTTTTTCGACTTCCAAGTAGAATAAATTGATAGATTTAATTGATTTTATAAAATTTATTTACAATCTGCGATATCATTTTTTTTCTTCTACACAAACTAACCATTTACAACAGCTATTTTCACACTGACTAGAAAGTAACTGGGAATTCATCGTGGTTGATTTAAAGACTTATCCCTATACTGTTTTTCTGCCACAAAAAAAATTGCGAACATTAAAACAATTTAATAAATAAAGTTCAAAACTAACTTTAATACAAGGACGAACATGATATCTTCACAATGTAGGTCGATAATGGTGTTCATCAACGACATGGTTGTGATACCGAGCTATTTCAAATACATAACAATAAGAAGAAGGAGAATAGACACATGAAAAATCGATTTTTAATTTATAATTGTTATTTTACGAGAATTCTATTACCCATATCTTTCCATAGAAGTAAAGTTTCGAACTGTGGTTTCAAAACTATTCACCTCATCATTAGAGTGTAATAATGAGTATGAATAAATACATGTTACTGATAAAATTTCAAATAATGTTACTCAGTACTGACTTGTTGTCTACGTTTCTCTTTGCCTAAAGTTGATTTATGATATAAAACTGAAAAAATGCAACAATCACTTTATTTATATTGTCATTCTTGTGTACGACAATGAAAGATTCATCATAGTAAAATTAGATAACTCACTAAAAAATGTAATATCATCGTCAGAAAAAACATTTACCTGAACTACAAATATTCTAAACCATTTAGATAAGAAACGATACAATTATTAAATTCACTTGGTATTGCTTACTTAAATCTTCCTATTGGTGTTTAGCACTGCAAGTGATCAGTTTCTTATTAGCATATATGCATACTGTGCATATCGTCTCGATATTACCTTAATTCACAAGCATTATAAGCAAAGATGGATAGTGATTTCGTTGTATGGCAACTTTAGTCAACACAGGTATATTTATATCAAGCTTTGTGTTAATAATGACTAACCGAATAACTAAATTTAGTTTGCCGACAAAGTAAGAATGAACATATATGTTCAGTTTTCCCATTAAAACTGAATGAAGCTCTAAAACTAATCGTAGTCAAATGGTAGAAAACTATAAATATCTTCTATTTTAATTGAACATTGATCACAGTTGCATAATAATATAAATTGAACTGTTCGAACTGTCAATACTATATAAGTAGTGTATACAGTATTTATGCAAATAAATAAAAAATCTATTTATTAATGTATTATCAATATGCACGAAAAAAATATATAGATCAAAAGTGGCTTAACAATTAACTACAGAATAACACACATAATTCTCACTCCCTCTTTCTCTTTCTGTGTATATAATTCCATAAGAATTAAGCTAACGTATAAATGTTGTGAATAAAAATTATATTACCCCACGTAAAAAGTAACGATCATTTATAATGAACAATGAAAGAAAATTAAACATATAAACACACATACAGAAAAATAGAAACACATTCTTATAACAATTATACTCCCGTCCACGAAGAAAATAAATCAATGCAATCATACAATGATCTGGTCACACCCAAAACTCAAATCATTAAGAGAGTAAATGCAAAAATAGCATTAGTGATAGCAATAATATTAACATTAATGAATCTTTGGAATCATGAACTGATCAATGTTAGACCACCATTTAAAACCTGGAAGCACTGGACAGCCGTTTCGTCACAGTATGCGATTCTTCAGTAGTGCGTACCCACGATTCCGTATACATGAATCGAACTTAGGATTTTCGGTCATGTGCGTAAACGCTTAACCTCTATACCGCTGGTTTGACGTGAACAACTTCCATTACCTTCATAGAGTAGTTGCCTCACACTTAATACGGTTGGACTCGAATGGTCACGGCTTCTCATTACAACTACAGCTAGTCACTAGTGTGCACATGATAATTGTAAGTATAGGGTTGTGAAGATTGTTGAATTCCATTAAAATAATGAACCGACAAATATTAAACCACAATTTAAAACCTGGAAAAACTGGTTAGACAGCGTGAATTCAATGAAACTCAACAATCTCCACAACCCTATGTTTACAATTAATAAATCACTTCCTACCTAACGGAGTACTTAATATTTATTTAAAAAATCTATTGATAGAAAGACGTAATCGCAAAATACGATTTGTAGGTTATATTTTTCATGTATTGATCTCAGATGAAGTATAATTAAAAAACAGGAAGCATTGAACAGCTATGTAACTTCTTAACAGATGATACGTATAATCCAGTCAGGGATTGAACTCATGACCTAATCTACAGATCTTGTAACAAGCGCTAAACCTTTAGAACTACTATTGGGTTAAGGTTCAATTGTACACATTCTGAACTTCGTCGGAAAATCACTAGCGACCAGTGTTTCACTTCTGAAAACTTTAAACTCAACTAGTTATCACTCATCACTAGAGCTTCAGGGAGTAGTTTATGTGTAAAGTCAGTTTACTCTGAAAATAGCTTATGTTGTGACGAAGTGAGATGAACTGAACAACTATTTGAAACTAAGGTAAATTGCAAATTATATCTACTTTAGTCTTGAAGTCCTTAATAGTCCTCACCAGCAATGAAATCCAGGAGCTTTCACAAATCATGTAATGTATAGATTCAGTATCAAATGGGTCACTGTTCTGACTTTCATCGATAAGTGATGCAGCGTAACGTCAAAATTTTAAGAACAATCTAATGGACATCAATGTAATGCCCTGTTGAAATAGGAAACATGTATACACAACATCGGTTGAATAAGGACTAAAGGAGATGAAACCAAGGCATAGTGTAAGTTCTTAAGATCACCGTTTATTGAACGGAGACGTGTTAAAAGATGTGGAATCCGGCTCTATGACTCGCGAAGTCGCCATAGTGAAAGGAAAGGAAAAACAGCTTCCACTCTCAACGCGAAACCCAAATAATGCACAATAACTGGTCTGTTTTAAATAGTATATCTATGACATTAGGGAAACATGAAGAAATGTAGAATTAAAAAGTGACCAACCGCAGAACAGTTGAGTGAGGAAGTTATGAATTTTTAGTTAAGTCAGAACTAACTCTTTATAAAAAAGAGCAAAGTAAAGACTATTTGAAGTATTTCGATAAAGCAATTAGAAGATGGAGTAATCTTTAAGTCATTTTATGACCTAGTATAATGCGACAGTTTCTTATTCTTTCTATACGATGTTAAATGTTTCTCTCCCTTTTATTACTTTTTTTTACAAAAATGCCCTGACTAATATGTGTGACCAGATTGTTCAAAATGCATAGCGCAAATACATCACATTTTTCAAATCAACTTCGTCTTCTAATTGCTCTATCGAAATTTATAAAAGGGACTAATTGCTTTAAATATTTGAAGTATACCGAACATATGTGCAATCAGTCAGTTATTCATAAGCAACATAAAACCTAGCATATATATGCATTGGTTCAAGTCGGCACATCACATTAATAATGGAAGATGAAGTTATCAAAATAAATCCCTAAGTAGTACTAGCAGTAAAAGTATCAGTAGTAGTAGTCGAAAAGATTAGGCATAGATAATGTGAATGGCAAACTGATGTCTGGTAGTGAAACGCTTGTTACTAATTTCTTAGCTACAGTCCCATAATGCTGAACCACCCTTACAAGTCAACTGGAACAATAAAGAAAAGGTGAGAAATGTGAGTTAGAGCTTTACTCCAAAGTTAGTTTAGATAATGAGGACCGAGTGTATTTATAGAATTATATGTGAACTTGGACTGGTAGAGCTATAGGTAAATATCCAATCAAAGACGTGATACATGACTTTTCATTTTCTAGGTTTTTTCTGAAAAGCGTTTAATCAACGGTTGTTGGATAATACGTTTTCTGGCATTTTTTGGACCACTATAGACTTCGAGGATGGATATTTTGAGATTCCCCAAAAACAACAAAGAATGAATTCGATGAATAAAAAGCGTGAGGTAATTTTAAGACTCGATAGGTCAGAGAGAATATAGAGCGACTGCATAAGTTTATACATACAAATATATCACTACATATTGTGACAGAAAAATAAAGAAATAGATAAATAACTTACTAAACTATTACACTGATGTATACGAGCAATTATCAAATCCATATAAGTTATACTATTAGAAGTGATAAATTGATTCTCACCGAATAATGATGGACCATCACAAGATTCAGGTGAAAATACAGGCGAATTATTATCATCATCTTTAAGCGTAGCCTCGACAGAGGACGACTGACAAGAACCAATAGAATTAATTCCTTCGGGTGTTGTTGACGTACTTGTAGTCATTTGATTCATTTGTGAATTGGTATCAAATATAATGGTTGAAGGTAGTTTCATTAATAGAAATCGCAATAATATGGGAAGTAATGAAGAGCCTACAGTATGAATGATAAATTGTTCCAGGTAGACAGTAGCTGTGATAACATCTTCAGGAGCTTTCTAAAAGTGAAAAAAGAAAAAAGAAGACGAAAACAATGTAAAAACAGGAAAAAAACTAAACCAATCAACAGGCAAAAATATACACCAGTTCCATTATCCGTTCATTAATCCTCATTAAGTTAACATCGTATAATGTAAGCATGGAAACACTACAAATATCGGAGGTACTTGACAGAAAGACCTAGATCTAGGTTTTGTGCTGGTTATCACTAGTCAACGATAGGTACCTGACATCGTCAGGGAACTGGTGCTTTTTGTTGGATCCAAAACAGGGACGTCCAATCACATATACTTTATGAGATATTTACTAACCATGAGCGATGGCCACATACCGCAAGTGATCAGTACTAAGAACTAGACAAACATGATACTGATTACTTATTACTCAGCGATCAACTAATGTAAACACCTTAGACCAACGGGAGGTCAATCATGGCTCCACTACTACCGTTTAAAACCAGGAGGCATAAGACAGCGGTTTCGTCCTAGTACTCGTCCAAGAACCCGCATTGAGGAATCAAACTCAGGATTTTCAGTGTCGCGCACGAACGCTAACGTCTAGACCACCGATCTGAAGCCCAACAGTGTTAATGCTTAACTTCAAAAGATCCAAGATATTGTGTGCAAAGGATAACTGTCTCACATCTGACATGGTAGAGTTCCACTGGTTACAGCTTCGCAACAGAATTAGCATTGTCTAGGAGTCCCCATACTAGGATAAAACAGGTGTACGACGCTTCTAGGCTTTCAATGGTGCTTTAACTGATATCAGCTTGTGGGTTAAACCATGAAAAACATTTTATTCAAAAATATATCGCAACTTTATTGATAGAGTTAGATTAGCACCAAGAACTAAAGAAAAATAATATTGGTCACTTCTCAGTGGTCAACCAATTATAAATATCTGAGGCATAGACAAATTTAGTCAAGGTCTGAACAGTTAGATGAAAAATTTTCTTACTTTTAGATTGTGTGATACAGGTTTAAGTCTCTTATTAATCATGAGTTACTTCAAGATTGATGTGCATTTTGTTGAGTATACCCAACAACCAAACTTCAAAAGTTTTAGTAGTTATTTAGTACTAACTGGAGAACTACTCATAATCAAGTAAAATCAGGGATCATTCATGGATAAAAGGTGTAGTGGTACCATGTATGATTGTTAAGAAGGTTTGAACAACGTGCAGGACATTAGTTCCCAGAAAATTCACAGATATACCTTGTTCACGAGTCTCAAATAACATGAAATCTATGTCCACAGCTTCCTGTTCAGCAATTTGAACAGCTTGCTAAATTATACCAAAATATTGTAATAAAAACCGTTTACAAACTATTGTTAAAAATCAACACCCATCACACCGATATCTTTCCATTAATAGAATCTGGTCATTACAGATAGACAAGATCTCATGTTGATTGCCATACACAGTTTATGAAAAGATACATCTATCTATCTATTTAAACGAAATGTCGATATTGACAACAGTTTTAACTACAACCTATCACTAAACAAAGAACTTAAACGTGGATGAGAAATAAAAGTAAAAGAAAGAAGAGTAACTAAGTGTCTTTCTTCATTCAAGTCTAATGATGGAAATAAATAGAAAGTACATGACCTTTTTACTACTCTAAAGAAATATTGATTAAGCCATAGAATCACACTCAATAATGATCATAATTGTTATTTCTATCACTAAAAAGGTACTCTTTTTTAAGTTATAAATATACATACATGGGCTTCGGAAAAAGTTTTCGTTTCAGTTGTAAATTTAGACAAGTTTTTAAAATGTCGAATAAGAAAATTTATTGGAAGTGTTTTGGTCTGCGAACTGGATGGTTCGGTTATGAAGTTTTCATTGTCCTTTGTGAACAACATTATCACTATATAATTCAAAAAGAAGTAAGCCACTAGAATTTCTTCATAATGGAACCATCTATGTCAGAGACCAAATTACCTTCAACATCCATGTCTTGAGCTACAAACATTCTTCATTATTTCAATAAATTATTCTTTAAATTGAATCTTATTATTTAGCTTGATGAATTTCATACATATATAGAACATACACTTTCTTAACAAAAAAATTCAGAATTTTCGAAACTTTAAACATAATATAAAGGAAAAATAGTTTAAATCTTATCTAATCTTATGAGATTTTAGGCCATGGTCGTTTAACATAGAGATACTTGGAAGACTACAATATATCTGGTGAAAAGTCTCAGTGAAAAGTTATTATTATCTAACAGAAATATCAAGTGAATTACGATCAAAGAAATGTAAATCATGAGGCAGTGATGGCTGAATGACTGGGTATTCGTAAACATTATGGTACACAGTTCATGTAGAACACCACCCTCCATGTATCTCTTTTAGATTGAGTGGTACAAAGATTTAGACACCGAAAATTCACTAACTATTGATTTGAATCATAAATGAAAGGTTCTATGTTTGTAATCATTTCAATGCTTGATATTATTGCTTAATGGAGAATTTTCAGTAATACGACAAGCTAAAACTATAGAACGATCTCATTCATTTACAGAGTAAAAGTTTATGTGCTCGGCTTTATTTAATGGATTTTGTATGCATATGTGAAAGTTATTCATATTATCCGACTGCTCGAACGGAATTTGATGTGAATAGGGTTGGAACTAGCAACCTCATGGTCGAAAGCCGATTATCAACTTGGAAACCAAATTAATATTAACTATCAATCGGAAAAGAATGAATAAATTCCCAAATCTTCAAATTTATTAACATTTCTAGCAACATATTACTCTAAACTGACATATTGCTCCGTTCACACACACACATTTTTAAAAAAAAACGTATTTCTGTCCACTAAAGTTCATTTCGTCAATACTGTCTATAGATTTCAATGATTTAAGGAAGTTTAACTAACACACTTTTGTAAAAACGAATTTCTTATATGAACTATTAAAATAACATACTACACATAAACTCACTAACCATGATGTAAGCCATTGAAGTATTCAGCGTAGAGCCTGGGTTAAATGCGCGTTAGTGCAATCAACAATATCATATCATAAAGATATGATGAGATTATTAAAGTAAATATACTCAAGAAATCGAGATTATTGTAGTGATAATGATAAGAATAAAAACTCGAGAATATCTGACTGATAAGAAGATTTTGAGTTATCCCCTTTTTGATATTAGGGATTGAAATTTGAACAAATCAGTGATTATTTGGACTCAGTAGCTCAGTGGATAATACGTTTGGCATTTGAAGTAAAAAGTGATACATTTGAGTTTCGGTATGAACAATAACTCTAAAATGCGGGTACATCCGGTTGACGAATTTATAATATGAAGAAAAGCTCGTCCTTCATACCACTAATAACCACAACTTTTCTATCCCATGTAACTGAAGAATATAGTTCGAAAAGACGGAATGAAAAGATGTATGAAAGAATACTGGGACACCAGATCAACAGTAAAATAGAGTGAATGCATCTAAGTGATTGTGACCCTGTAGTTAATTACACATACCCATAGATGGTCAGCTAAATGATGATAATGACAACGACAGGAATCAGCGATAGATTGACTCAATACACGACTAATATTTGCAATAAATTAAGGGAGTATTTTAATGCATAATGGCACTTCATATATTACATCATAATTAAACTAAATATCTTCAGTCTAGTAAATAAAGTATTCAACAGTATACATGTGTATGTTTCATTTACAAAAATGGCAAACGAGAAAAAATAGAATAATAATATTAACTTGTCTGAAGAGATTCAAAAGATTTGAAATTATTCATTGTTAAAATAACTCCTTTCTAAAGTTGAGGTTAAAATGATCTAACGATTTAATGAAAGATTAACTTGATAGTCAAATTACTGATATAGTTGTGTGATCATAAGTCATACTGTTTGTATGAATTCTAACAGATACTAATTAATGAATTATTTGAATCAAACAAAATGAAGCAGAGTTTCAACTTTTATCTTTCTTGCAATTAGTTCCCTTTATGAATTTAAATAAAGCAAGAACAAATATTGATGCAGAATAGTATGAATTCATAATATTTCGAGGTTTCTCGTCAGCTGATTACAAACCAAAAATGTGATAGAATTTTTTACATTGAGATAGTGTGAAACAATTGACATAAATGAATGTAAATAACTGGAATGACAAAGGTTTACAATAATAACTATATATATATATATATATATATATATATATATATATTCTAAAACAGGTCAGAGGTTAATTGATGTTAGAAAAAAGGAAATAATTGAGGGTGGGTGGTGTAATAGTTTAGTGGAGTTTATGAATTGTGTGATAATTTTAGAGATTAATGGAATTTTATCTTTCTTCTAGTTTACTATAGTCAACATCAGATGCTAAAGTAGGTGTATATGGTGATTAAACATACATAACAAATCTTTCATTCCTTCAAATATTTTCCAATAAAATATTAAGTTACAAATGTAATCAATTATTTACACAAATCAACTATTAGACAATAAATAATGATAATTTCCATTCTCAATTATGATTGATAAGTTTATATCAGTTTAAGTAATTTAATGAAATCATTATGTTCATATTTTTTATCCAATATGAAGTTAGCAACAAAAAAAAACAAAATTAATCATTTAAGTGTACAATTTTTAATGGTTTTTCATATGTCCAAAAATCAAAATTTATTATGTTATAAATTGACTTGATAAAGTACTCTAGTTCATATCAGTTATTTGTTCCAATAAATAAATAAGTCCAAACTAATTGAACTAATTACTATCGATAAATGTACTAACAACAATAATGATTATTGACATATTGAATACTAATAGATTATTTTTTTCTCTTAAAAAAAATCTATCATTGAATTCTTGTGTTTAATTAATTAATTAATTAATGAATTATGAAATAATCATTAAAAAATAAAATAAATTAAAGAGAGTGAAAAACAGTATGACCACATACATACACACACACACGCATACACACAGAGAGAAACAATAATTTTAATTCATGTGTCTTTTGGAGCTAACTCTCCAGGTTCATTTCATAATAAACCTTTTTTTAAAGAGAAAGTGAAAGAAACATAACAGAAGTGAATTGCTAAAGTCATTCATTCGTAATTTTGGAAAATACCTATCACAATTGTGATTCAATGATTTTATGTAAATTATTATAAGGAAACGATTTGTTTGATTATTAATTGTATATTTAAAAAAAGATAATGACCGACTACTTGATAAGATAGTACTATATATTTTAATTTCAATAAGTATAAGAACTGATATTGCAAGAAAAAAATTGATTTTACAACAGTCAGAGTAAATCAATCTTGTCATATCCGCCACCATTCACGGTATCATCTCGATAAATGGAAATTATCTGAAGCCAATCACTTCTTCTCAAGGGTTCATCTTATTGGTGTGTACTATGAAAATAACGAAGTCCGATTTAGTGAGAACTCTGATAAAATTTAGAGTCTATTAATTGTTTCACGACTAAACTGCATCAATACCTAGATTGATTAGAAAGAAATGAAGTAGTTAACTACGATGACTACTTCATTTACCTTGGAAATCTCATTAGCCCTAGTGAGCTGATGCAAAAAAATCTTGTCACGTATTCAGATGGTCCGGTCAGCCTTTTTATATCTGCGCCACTCGTGGAGGAGCCGAAATGTTTGTCTATTAACCAAAGGATGAGTACATTGCACAACAATCCACTCCCTATTATTCTGTGGATGTGAAACATGGCTTGTGAGAGTAATGTTTAGGCTGCAGGTTATTGATCACAAGTATCTCAGAAGTATTGTTTCTGTTTCATTGAACGACTAGGTAATCAACTTTGAGATTTGGTAAAGATGTAAATTGATTGATCTGGTTGTAATTTTACATCAACTTAAACGGCTTGAACATGTGTTACATATACTGAGACATTTTCTACCTTGATAAGCGATCATTACTGGAGTAGAAGTAGGTTGGAAGAAGGCTAAAGACGCCCAAACAAAAACATGAAAGCGTTCCATGAACTCACAAACTGTTGATTTGAACCATTTAAGCATATATAAATTACCTGGTTAGGGTTCATGTGGCAACCGGGATGAGGGATTGAATAGGTTCGCTGAAATGAATCATTCGTAATGGGGAAAATATATTCTTTCTTTGTCTTTCCTTAGATCCTGAGTTTTAAAACTATCCTGTATATTGCTTAATCGGTTTGAAAACAGAAAACGGAGTAGTAAATTTATTTTCACCGACAAAACAATGGTGATTGAGAAAACTGACAAATTATAATATATAAAAATCTACAACATACCTGTGTTAACGCTGGACCAATGATAGAAACAAAGAAGATAGCATGTATACAGTGCAAAAGACATGATTGTATCAGGGGATGAGCAATCTGTTAAAAGGAAAAGTAGAAAATGGAAATATATTGTTGTGATAACCTGAAATAGTATGATTGGTTAACAAGAGAATTGTCACTTATAAATAATAGTAGTAAAAACAGTAGTATAAGTAGAGATAACATTGGATCCTTTGTTTTAACTTCACCAGTCCAGTAGACAAAAACAAATATAACAAACAAACAAGAAAAATACTCGTATCTATGAGAACAGAATATAAGAAATGTATTGAAAAAAATTATTGGATTACTTTTAAAGATCTAATCTACAAAATTCATTGTTGTGACATTATTTCATTGATGAAAAAATGCATTATTAACAAACATTCAATAATATCACTAAGATAATAATTAAAAATTACTTCAGTTAAATGAATAAATCGTTTTGGGAAAAGCAAATAAGGTTTAATCACATTGAACTTGAGATAAGTCTTAGCAATAACGACGGAATATTGTGAATCGATTGAAGTTGGAAATATCAATTAGTTTATGGTGATACTGAGGTTGAGCAATTATCGTGAAGCGTGAGGGTGTTAAGATCGATCCCTGATGAGGACATTAAGCTAAAAAAAAAACTTACTTCCTAGCCAATAATTTGATATCAAAAAGTGACAATCAGAGGTACTAGTCGAAACGTTAGAAAAACACAATCATTGTTAGGTTAGTGGAGAAAAGAAGAGCGCAACCTATTGGAGCAAATGATACAAGATTGCTTTGCTTATACGAAAATATTAACTTCCTATGGCATACTCAAACATTACATGATCTCAGAATTAATAATAATGTTGGAACTGAAGCTAAGGAATTCAGAAAACAAAAAACAAATAAAACGTGGAGAGTTTTTAAAAAAATTTAGTTATAAAACGTCAAATCTTTTAAGTACATTTGCAAAAATATCATGTACTCGACCTATTTTTTACAGACAAATTATTATAACGAAATTGTTATAGATAATGAATAGTTAGTTTTTATTGGTCAGATCACTGAGATAAAGTGAAAAACTCCACTTATCAATATGACTCCTCCCAATCTGACAGTTTCATAAACACTATTCAGATACACGAAATGTTCATACATATGTTTTGAATGAAATTAACTTCAGTTAACACATAGCGTCCATACTTTGTCCTCAGATTAACTGAAATATGTTAGGTGGTTGGAATGCCTCCAAATGCCCTGGTAAGGCCGAGAGTGGGGAGAGTCCGCCCACCCTCTCGAAATGCTCTCACATGGCCACGCGTATATAGCCTCTGCCAGGGAAGTCCTACTCACTGCCTTCTCGTGGCAGGGGTGTTGCTTACGAAAATGAGAGGACGAAATGCGAACGTCCGGCGCTTTAACCGGGTTGGTGAACATGGAGAGTCCACAGAGGGGAGTTGGAAAACCTTGATTCCAAACCAATGGTGCACATGGGCTCCAGTATCCTGAGGGAATAAATGGCGTCTGAACCAATCGTTGGTCACCGGCTACCATGGGACTGCATCTCCTTACGTTGCTCCACTGCCTTGTGGATCAGACCTTCATGTCGAAGGCTCCGGGTGTGGTCCCCCAGGAAAACCACCTGCTTCAGTTTGGGCACCTGAGCAGTATCACAACCCTCACACATATCAAATGAGATTTCTATGGCGCATATGTATTTGGTGCCTCCTTGTACCAATATCTATGTGTTAAAATAAATAAAATAAATAAATAAGGTGGTTGGAATTGGTCTACAGGAGACCCTGTTCAATTTTGGTTTCAAGTTAGTTAGAACTCGTTAGTAAGGTGTTTCTAAAACTTTGAGATACCTAATCCTGTCCGTAGTGTTCAATGTCACATTTATCAAGTCATTTAGTGCTGATCAAATTCTCTTAGTCAAGTGGCAATATAATCACTAATCTATGTGACTCACCATTGTTATACAGGAAATCCTACAGAAGTTTATTCGTGAGTTGAATAGATCTCTGATAATATCTCAAGCTATGAAATGGAGTCAAGTGATTTCGAATTTCGTGAGGAGTATCAATTCCTTTAACAAGTATCAGCTAGCACAGAAACTATGTTGAACAGGGTATTCTATCGACTACCTACAGTCGAATCAACATATCAAAATATATAAAATGTGATGTCGTGTCACTAAGACTAATGATATTATCTCAATTAATCAGTAGAATTCGATCAACACTGAAGGACTATACAACTATGATATGGGTCATTATTCAGAGAGTAGTTAATATAACTACAATCTTCAACAAAATCAATAATAAACATGTATTACACGACAGCATTAATTTTAAATTGACCACAATTCAATTACCAATAGAAGTACATAAAAACAGCATCCTGATGACTAAATTTGTTATTCACTAATGAAAAACATTAAATGAGACAAAGAATTAATTGAATATATCAAGTGATGCGAAAAAAAAACTACCTAATATAACCAAGAAATAATAATGATTCATCCTATAAGACGATTAAACTATTAAACTGTTAAAAAACAAGATGAAAATTAAAACACTATGTCAACAACATAAATGACCTTTATATTCATAAAAAAGCTAAAATTAATCGTCAATGTTTACTAGGTATGTTTTACCTAACACTTTGGGGTCATTTTTCTGTTCATTTAGTGAGTAAGGTTTGTATACAACAGTGTAATTTTAGCTAGTGAAGTTGTGAACCGATCTAAGTTGGACTATCGTTGAAAATCGAGACACTTGACAGCTGTTTCACCCTAGTACATAACCTTTAAGCAGTGCTCATCTACGACACTACACGTGGAAATCGAATCCAAGATCTTCGGTCTTCAAAATCTTATACTGACTTGTAATCTTTTTATTGGAGATTTTATTTTAAAACTTTCATTAGGTTCATGTTTTTCTACTCTATATGTGTTACACTGGACATGTGTTCATAACAGACATTTGGAGATACCTTAAGATGTTCAGTGAAACGACAATCACTTCAATGCATAGAAACTTAATTCGTGGTTGTTGTTTTCAATTAATTTTAAATACTAATTAAAGTATTTTCAGCAAAACTACATAAAATAATCGTACAAACCCATATGCGGATGAAAACATGGATCAAGAAGGATGAAACACACAGAATCCTATAATAACATACTGTGCTTTGAATTACCCTGTTAAGTTAATGGGAAAATCAATAGTGCTTTATAACTAAATAATGATGCGCACCTCACTTTGATTAATCTAAATAACTTTAATGATAGAATAACTGTAATTTGATATAGATCTGCTTGAATAATTGTTTTTTTTAATTATCATTATCATTGTTTATCTTCCCTCATTTCAAATTAAGGTTTTCGACTCTATCATGAAGTATTCAGAAACAATCTTAAGCTATACATATGGAATTCTTTCTTCATCAAACAATACAGCACTACAGATTTGAATTTTAACCCAGCTCTACTTAACTTATATATAATAGATAGTATCTGGCAAAGAGTGGGATTTATGACGTGCGTTCCATCCTATTTGGGATTCGTTAGCTCAGATGCTCACTTCAAGACTCAAGTGCAGCACCGTTTGCTTCAAACACCACCGCGTTACCCACTTAGCTACTAGGTTCAGAATTGGAAGTAAATGGTAATGGGTTCAAGTATCGGAGTGAACATTAACTCTGGGTCGCAGGCACATCCGGTTGACGAGTCCCAAATAGGACGAAACGTGCGTCCTGAATTCCAATGCTAAACACATTCCACCTATTTTATATAAACTTGTGTTATAATGGCTATATTGAGGCAATCCTCATACAAGATTCATATGTCAACCAAGGCTGATCAAATTTCAGTTAAGGATATCAACAACGCCAAACAATTTCTAATCGAATTTATTTACCCAGTTTGATGGTTTAATAATAATAACTAGTGCTTACACAACAAAACTTTACTGAAAGTCGGTTGTTACTGTTGTTTACAGGTGAAATGGGACAAAGCCAGTTTCAATGAAACAGACGGAAAAATTTCAACATTACTTCACTCCTTTTAACGCTAATTAATGGTTTTCTCTAAATTATAGTTTCTCAGAATTTTCACTAAAATGAATTATATTATATCTCCCTCTTTGCTTTTTTTGTGTTGATGTGAAATATGAAAAATTGAGTTGGCGTTTGTTTGTGACCAAAACTCACGCTATTTACGACTAGCACAGCCTCACCTGAAACTAGTTTAAGCAATTAAACAAATAGGTTTAAATGCGAAAAAGGGCGGCAAAAGTCAAAATAAAAACGAAATGACAACCAAATGTTTAATTGCAAAAAAAAGAAAACAATGAGACAAAAATACCTCAAGTAAAGAACGGCAAAAATCCAATGCATCCAGAAATTCATTGAAACGTGCATTTGCTAATTGATTAGTATTCAATGTTCGAATAAGTAATGGCCAAGTTTCTGGTGAGTTATTATTTACTAAACGATGAGGTAAAGCTGTATACAATATTCCCAGACCAGTGGCAATTACCTAAAACATTAATGAATATAAAAAAGAAGTGATGAAATTGACCTTAATTCACATTTACCTCCATGTTAGAAATATATACATGTATCAGGAGTAGTGGCTCAGTGGTTGGGCAGTACAACTTCAAATCATTCAGTAGTCGATTTGAGTCTTGCTCCACTGAACTTAGTTTGCACAAACGAGTAGTATCACTAACCCTTATACTAAGAATGTGACGCGAAGTCAAGTACATAAAGCCGAACCTGATGAATTGCAGACATACGTAGGGCAAACAAATACAAGAAACATATATATATATATATATATATATATATATATATATATATATATATATATATATATATATGAATTATTCCAAGCATACTGGGAATAGGTCTATACATGTCTTTCATTAGAAATCCATATTTATGTTATTAGATAAAAGGACAAGATTCTGTTACATCAAGTTGAGGAATTCTAAAATAATGTGTAGTTATTAAACTGTACTTAATGTTAAGACCATTGCTAGCTACACAAATGAAATATCAACTCGATAGTAAACGCAACGAAAGAATAAAACATACATACACTTTAACTAGCTTGCACTGGGGCCTTAACAACTCTTGACCAAGCTTTCGACCAATGAAAAGGTAAAGGGAAGAAAAAGGTTCATCTTCATTGTATCTGAGTAAAATATGTATTTGTAGAATGTTTCAGTGTCAATGTTAGTAAGCCACTCAACATGCGAGTTTCAAAGCGTTGATTAAACGAAATGTAAGCGGTTAAAAAATTCACGATACATACTTTAAAAAATACGTTGTTGCCTAGTCTACAGAGAATTAAGAAGACAAACCACACTCAGTAAATATTATTGTCACTCTGATAAATAATTATTACAATGGAGAACGTGTAGGTATTTTATAGAAATAATGTGCACTTTTGAAAGATTATCCACTGTCAAAAAGCAGAATTTAAATTTTGGTACGCCCTTAGAAAAGTTTGAAATCACTATACTGAAAAAATTCCTTATTTTTATTGAATCTGATCGAATTTTCTTAATAATGGGAAGGACACTGAATCAATATGCTACACAGTCAAAGCACTTAATTGCTAACCACTATTGCTTCTCAAGTCTGAGAACCAATTTATTTCTGTCTAACAAGAGTAGAACTAACTAGTATCAGAAAGCCTCTTGCAAAATATATTACTGAATAAAACAAAATTTTTCTGGTAAGTTATAAATTCAGCCTCTTAAATGAAAAATAATTAGTGTACGCAACTATATTCCCGTCGAAAATTACATCTTACAAAAACGTTCAATTTCAATACGAATAAAAATAGGTCTAAAATGTAGTCGCAAGAACCAAATAAAAGTGAATAACATTATTTGAGTTATTTCACTTCAGTTTCGTCCCTTGAATGAAAATTAACGCTGAATATTCTTTCGAGGATTACAACCAAAACTATCATGTTGTGCGACAAGCACTTTAAGTCGGTCAATCAATTGATCGAGAACCAAGCTGATAAAATTGATGTAATAAAACTGGTAAAACTTAATAGTATAAAGTAGTTTAAATGAGATTTGCCTGGCCTCTGTATCTAACCCTAAGAAAGTAAACGGTATGGCTCAAATGAAGGTAAAAAATAACAGTCGACCACTCGACCGTAACTGACATCTTAATGTGATGGTCAGAATCGCATATTATGGTGACTTGGCTTGAAAACACTTCCTTGTGGATCCTACGATTCAAAGCAGATCAGTTGGACAAAGGTAAGGCTATGAGAATAAACTCAAGGTTCATAGCAAAGTCCTACTGTCAAATATACGGGGAGTGTGATGACAGTGCGTTGTTCCCTTCATAAAACCGGCATCTGTGCCGATATTGCTTTCCCTCAGAGGATAAAGAGGGTTGGAAAAAGTTGGCCCTAAGAACAGTACACTTCGCCTTGTCGCAGAAGCTTCCTCCACCACAGAAGATAAGGCCTTCAAAGTACAGAGCTGACACATCAGGAACCACTAGTTTCTTACCAAGCCAAGAAGCCAAAGTTTTGCCATTACTCAATGGAGTTGCAGATCTTGAAAGGAAGAAATTTACTTAGTGCCTGCTGGGTCGGAATATTTTTATTAGTTACTTAACAATTACAATCAATTCGGGATACCGAATAAACAGGAATCAGTGAAAATCAACACAGACGAGTACCAAATCCAGCTGTCATTGCGAGAAAAAAGCCCATAGTTGGATGTTGCTATGTCGCTTATCAAAACTTTAATGAAGTGTAAAGATGTGATAACAGACATATCCATGATTAGGTTCGATACATTCATGATATATTCAGTTTGGTATTACGAGTTCCAGTTAAGTATTAAATGATTATGGGCGTTGAACTACACCCTCATTTGCTTGGAGATGATTACAGTTATCTTAATTTCACTAAAGCTCGCAAATCCAGAGTCACTCATTTAGCGTGATACTGGATAGTATTTGGCTGAGTAGCCGGGGGTTATCTAGTATTTTTTAAAACCATATCTTGTCATCGTATTGACCAAACAAAACAGAGAAATTATGAGACGAAAACTGTCTAACTGATAAAAATATACTTAGGAAAGTTAAGTGGTAACAATACTAATGACTTACCGCACAAATTGATGAATATTTAGCAATACTATGACTAAATTCTTCATCTCTTAATGAATATGCTGCAATCAATAATAGCGAATCTCTGGCTTGCCAGCCCAAATCTCCATCTCTGAAAACATATGGTGCTAATAGGTCGCAAATCGAATCGATAGTTGGCAGTTTATTATTACTGCTAATATTATTAGTGGTATAATATGAAGGTGATTCATCAAAATCAGATTGGAATACATTATTATCATCATTGTTGTTGTGATTATCAAATTCATTGTCCATATCGAATTTACTCGATTCTAAACACATTGCCCAATCAATAGACTCCATGATTTTCAATGATGAAATCAATCCTCCACTGGTAATCGAATTACATCGTTCACAATTAACATTACTCGAATCATTGTTACTATTGTTATTATTAGTAGTATGGTTTAAATCAGATGTGAAACTAGTACCAATTTGACTTAAATCCACTACACCCATACACATTCGTCGAAATAGATGTAAAGAATCGCTATTCTTATTATCATTATGTTGTTTATGATGAAGAGGCAGACAAGAAGTAGGAGAAGAAGATGAAAGAGAATTATCCTGTACATATTCATGTTTAAATTGTGTTGATAAGATTGCACAAACAGTATTCAATAAACGTACAAGTGCACGTTCAACAAGTAGACATGAACGTAATGAGCAATGATGCATTGTTGCCATAAATGGTATCACAAACTATTTTATATAAGAGTTAAAAATAGCAGAAGGAAGACGGTAACAACAATAATAAAAACAAATGAATAAAATTTTGAATTTATCAAGTAAAATAATTACTTATATAAAAAAGAAACCATTTGATACTATCTAATAAGAATGTTAGTTGCAGTTTATCAGTTCAGTGGAATTCATTTTCAACTTATTATAGATAAATAGGAGTCAGTTTACTAATGGTTGCAAACTTGAATAATTTATTTCTTGCTTCGGTTGTACCACAAATACTGTCTTGGAACGCATCTATTTCATTAGGATTGCAAACACGCTTTTACGACGTCTTGGAGATTGTTACCAGCCACTTAAAATAAAACACAATCCAGTGCTGACGACATTATCGTTTTGAATGATAACTCGACTGTATCTTTTTTTTAGACGTGGTGATCGGATTTGAATATCATGGCAACCCAATCGAGCTATATTGACTGGAACCCTCATTGCTTAAGTTTCTACGATGCCAGGAAGGTCATCTGGTGAAGCATTGAACCCCATGTCATGCCGTTATATTATCTTAGACAAAAATGACAAATTTAACTAGTTCCCATAAAGTCTCTTCATCAACACTATAATTGCCACCTCACTACTAATGACTTACTTCGAGATTAGTTCATAAAATTCTATCAAAAGAAGTAGTGAACAATGGAGAACATACATGTCAGGAATAAAACAGTAGTTACTAATGTCGTTAAGTAATCATCATTCTATATTATGATTTGATTCAAGTTGGAAATGTGTACCATTGGATAAAAACAAATCAGTGATTTAATATTTACATGCTAGCTGTGAAAATCTACAGAATATGGACATTTATTTACTGATGAAACTGTGAGTGTATTTAGTTGAGGAGCCTCATATAAAGACAAAAAAAGACAGACAGATCAATCTGTGATGAATACCATCCTTAAATCAAACTATTATCTCTATAAAATTTATTGAATCAATTAAAATTCAATTATTTTCTAAAATAATCTGTAATCAGAATTTATATTTTATTTGTTAACTTTACTTTTCTCAATCAGGTGATCATTTAAAAAGAAAATATTATCAATTAATAATATTATCTATTTTTATTGAAGATTTTTTTCTCTTTTATTCCTTGATCCTTCTTTTCAACCAACACTAGTAATAGTTGGTAATCAATATATATATATATATATATATATATATATATATATATATATATATATATATATATATAATGGAATAATAATTAAACATACTTCAGGACAATGGTAGCATCAAAACTACATTATTTGAATGGAAGTGAGGTTAAACTATATTCCTTTAATATTTAGGAATTAAACAACTCTTACTATTCTGTACATTGAGTTAAGTTTAATTTGATGGTAATTTTAATGTCAAAAAACAATTGGGTGAAAAATTCACTTGGTATTATTTAATTGAATCTTACTATTGGTATTTAGCACTGCAATTGATTAGTCTCTTATTGGTATATGTGCGTATTGACTTAATTCACAAGCACTATAAGCAAAGATGGATAATGGCTAACAGTGGAATCCACAACGCGCATTTCATCCTATTTGGAACTCGTTAACTGGATGTACCTGCATTTCAGAGTTGACGTTCACTCTGAGACTCAAACTCAGTACCATTCGCTTCAAACGCCATCGCGTTATCCACTTAGCTATTGAGTCCTAATAGCCACTTGCTTATGTAATGGGATGAAATTTAAATTCACTTAATATTGTTTACTTGAATCTTCCCATTGATGTTTAGGACTGCAATGATCAGTTTTTGTAAATTAGTTTAATGTTTGGAAATAGTTTTCATTTTTGCAGCTGCTATCAGTTGGTGAACCATCAAAAAGCATAAATCAATTGATTTGTTTTAGTATAAGAAAAAAGTCAAGAACACACCTGCGGTCCAACTTGACATTTTAAAGCCTTATAGTGAGATAATCATTCAGTGGAATTCCCGAAGAGCTATCTTGAACCTAGTCAACAGTGAACACGTTCATGTTCATCAAATGATGTCATTCTATGATAACTTTTTTAAAATAAACTACGTTGAAAATCTTTTAAATATCACTTTCATGAACTAAAAATCAACTGTAAATACTTTCATTAGCCAGAGAGTGGTAAGCACGATCGTTTTTCAGTTACCAGTGCACTGAAGTTACTAGACTAATTAAAGTACCATCACAATGGATAACATATGATATTTCAATAAAAATCATTTTGAAGGATCTACACCTTTATAATTGCTAATACGACTTAAAAATGATGTATATTAAAACTTGAACATGAAAGTTACGTGAGGACATAACACGTCATACGGTACTACAGTAAAGAACGTTACTGATAGAACAATGGGGGTATTTATTAAACCTAACCAACTGTTTATTAAGTGGTTTATTAAACAGTAATATATTTAAGTGTGACGCTGAAAGATAAAAGTCAGAATCTCACAAGGAGAAAATCTTGCTCAATTTTGCAAAAGTGCTATCTTATGAAGTTCACAAGATCAAAAAACTGAACCAAGTTGTTTAGATGGTTTAGCTTAAATAACTGTGCAAAGGACACTAATTTTTGAGAAAGCCTTGTTTATGTGTCGATTACTGATTCGTCCAGCATGATTTCATTTCATGATTGACTGAAAATTAGACAGTTCTCTATAAACCATTTGATTGGATATTAGTTTAAAACTTACAGAGTAATGTGCTTTGAGATGAACACTCAGGATTACTAAGATGTGAAGTTGTGACCTATAGAACTGGCAAAGTTAAAATTGAGGCGAATAGCTCCTAATGATGGTTTTTATGAATGATATTACAGTTTGACAGACTTGAGAAACGTGAATCGTTTTAAACAGAATAAGTGGAAGAATCTTATCGTAGTCTGATAGCCTGGGGGATTTCAGACATATGATGAAAAGCTAAACAGCTTAAATCCTGTCTTGAGGTTAAGGAATAGCTAGTAAATCACAGATGCGTCATGTTGTTTCGGAACGCCTAATGAAGGCCTAAACCTGCAAGTCCTTGTTTAGATCAGACGGACAGATGCATATATAACGATTATTTGTATACATAATCATTCGGTTTTCCCAATTGAAGTCTCTCTCATTTCTCAGTCTTTTCACTTGTATATCTAGTTGGAAAAGCGTGTACGAAAGATAAGCATCTGAATCAGACATTGATACTTTCGTGAGCTGTGATAGTAATTTCGCCACATCGACTTTAATACCGTGAATGAAATTACTACTTTCCTCTGCTCCGGTAATTAAAGCATAAAAAAACAGTTTCGCAGGTGAAGCTCTTTGATGTTGGCCCGATCAATCAAAATACATTAAGCTTGTCAATCACGCATCAACCAAAAATGACCAGAACATTTTAAACTGAGTGACTGTCATCAACACAAAATATCGTAAGAATGTATTGGAATTCCGTGTATAGTATTCACACTTATTAATTCACTGTAATATAATTTTAACATAATTGAGAGAGATCATAATTTATGGGCGAACCATTCCTATTTGTAATAATAGGTCTTGAGAACCGTAACGTGGTCACAAGAAAAAAATCTCCGGCTAGATTTTGTATCAATTTTGATTAGAAGATGGGTGACATGTAATTATCAGCTAACGGAGAGGAAAGTATAAATCTAATTCCTTATAACTTGCATACAAAACTCATTATTCGACAAAGAATACAGTTTACCACCTGGATTAATTTAGACGGGAAAAAATCGGAATTTAGTGGGGGAAACACGTGGTTAGTTTTAGAACAGATGACGTTAAGTAGTTTTATGGTATTTTAAAAAGCTTAATTTGATTCTAGATAAGTTTAGATTTCAATATTCTATACTAAATCCCTGCAGACTGAGGAGAATTAAAGACGAGCTTAGTGAGATATGACGAAGATTGGTCATATATTTCAAAAAAATAAACCCTGAGTCCCAGAAAATGTACTTCGTTTTTAGGTGAAACAGGAGAACCACTTTACATCAATTTATCACTTTAGTAGTCAACAATATTATTTTGTCTAGTTTATGATAATGACGAGACTTTATCATTTAAGTTCTCAATGTGATTTATGAACTAAATGACTCGATACACTTGACGTTACAGAGTTGGAAGTCAACAGAGAACTTCAACCTCTTTTATGTATTTGTTGACAGTTTTTGAAAAAAGTTTTGCGGTCAAACATGTTACTATTAAACCATAAGGATTTTTTAAAACACGTTTTCGCGGTAAGGTGAAGAAAAATGATTAAAAATGAACTTTCTGACAGATGCACAAAAGTATACCTAATAAATCCTAAGTTAACCCTTACATTCCTAACCACTCGGGAATATTTGGCTTTCTCCTGTACGTGATGCCTTTTGATGGATGTTCTTAACTTTATTACAGTTGTATTAAACTATTTTCAGTCTCTAAACTTACAGTTTTTCTGATGTTTTTATCCTGCCATTGTACATTACACCTTGTTTAATTTTCCGCCCATTTTATCTCACCATTTAGGCATGTCAACATGGTGTACAGGCATCATGGAATGGTTTCTGTATTGTGACGATCGGGACATTACGAAATCGTAAACTTATAAAATGAAGTAGTCCTATCTCTTTCTAATTATTATGATACCGTTGCTAGTACTACATTAAATATTCCTAACCGTAACTGATACCTGACGTGGTGGATGGGCTTGTATGTCGTAATCATTCAAAAAAGGTATATTAGCTGGAACACTTGTTCATTTAGGTCTAACCATATCACGTAAGTCGTTTAGGGTATAGTAGGACTGAATGCAGCAACTTAAGGTCCGAGAGCGGAGTCGTACTGATGACTGTACAGGAGTGTGACAGCAGTACGGTTTTTCTCTCAAATAACCAACATTTGCAACAGAGCTGCCTTCACATAACGAAAGAAGAAGATCAGAATGTATTAGCCACGATAATGTTACACTTAACCTCTCCCCATGGACTTCAGTCTCCGGTCGTAAGGCTGTTTTGATGTACAGCGATAACACACTAAAGACCTCCCATAAAAAGGTCATGTGTGACCGACCTCGGGTAGTTTTTGATTGAGCAACTTGGCTAACCTTCCAGGTCGCTAAGATCAATGCTAATCCAGTTTCATTTTCAGATCGCTTAAAAAGAAATATCCCTCCATGATTTGGGTAGTTTGGAAGTGACAACTGCCGTCAAATTTTCAAAAGCTTTCGAGATCGGCTAGATCATAATCAAACCCCATCTTCATACCACTACCTCAGTTTATCACTTTGAGTAAGACCTGTTAGTTTGAAAAACGTTCTAATCTAGCTTTATGCCCATAAGCAATCTGTACATTTTTAGATGTCGAAACCATATTCCCAAAATCTTAAAGTGGGAACATCCCAGTTAAAGAAGTAAGCATTTCTGAATTTTAGTGTACAGACACTATATACGATAACCGCTGTCCAAAAATACAGAGTAATACCTAGTCTATTCAATAAATCATGAGAAACTCCTTTTTTACATTTTTCGTTTGTGCTTGGTTGTTATTAATTCATTACAACGCGTGTACACGTGCACTCAATCAGAATACGAGTAAAGCTGCATTGTACTAATAGAATCGTTTCAATTAAGAAAATAAGATGACAGAAATTTGCTCAGGAGAAGTTACAAATACTCTTCACTGGTTAGTATCAAGAATAAATAACATAATCCAAGTCATATAACAACTACAAGTGTATGTAATCCGTCAAACTTATTTTTTGGTTGAGATCATGAATTAATTGATGTTAGACCACCGGTGGAAACCTGGAAGCACTGGACGGCCGTTTCGTCCTAGTATGGGACTCCTCAGCAGTGCGCATCCACGACCCCGCACCCCGCGGGATTCGAACCCAGGACCTACTGGCTTCGCGCCTGAGCACTTAACCATTAGACCACTGAGCCGGCATCCAATGGTGTTAGTGTCCAACATCAACCAATCCAACGAAAGTGCGCGACCACTTATTTTTATTTTACGGCTAGTGATATATCACTAGACTGTCTAAACCGAATTAAGAGGAGCCAAACTCGAACTTGCGAACTGATGGTAGAAAGTTGAATACTTTAATCATTATTAAGCTGATAAATCGTACACAAAAACGAATAAAAAGCACAATTAAAACGGCCTAGGTAGTCGTCTTTATATCTTTCATATTAAAATTCAAGTTGCTTGTACAATAATAACGGTAAGAACAATGGCTGTAATCATGATTAAGATGACTTAGTTTATTGAAAACAATCGCCAAATTAAAAAAAGCTTAAAGTTAATCTTTTTAAGCGTAAGTGCACGTGAATGCACTTTGAGTTAACAGAGAGTTGATCAGCTAATACTGAAGTGTAAACCTAGTGAGTACAATAATCAATTATTATTTCCAATGCAGATATATAAGTGGAGAGATGAGTTTGAAGTGGTCGGTTGTGTGTGTAATATCACGCATGCATGGTTATATATATATATATATAACTCGATATTTAAACAGAAAGCAAGTCAGTAGAAATGATGAAGAAACTTGAGTAAACCGATTAAATTTCATAGGTACTAACACCGAAGATAATTAAGAAACTTGTTGATAATTATAATTGATCCTTCCATTTGAACTAGGAAAAAGAACAATTCATTAAACTTATCATAGATGAAAATTATAATTCACTTGTTATTTTTATTGTTCATATTGATTGTATACCTGAATGTGTCCTGAAACAATTATGAGACATGTGTGAACAATGAAAAGAAAGAATATTTCTCATTTTCAAAAAATTGATGAGTTTTTATTACTTTCTTATCCGGGTCAAGTGCTTCCAAGAAATAAATAAGTTTCTCATGAATGTGCTTGGATGTGTAGTGTGTTAATTACTTAGATTTATAAACTGCAGCCTTTAATCATTATGGATGATAAATTTTACAAGGTGCAACCAGGAGGATACTATTTAGAGCTATCACTATATAGTTTCTGGACTGATAAACTAATGGTTTAAATAGTCAGCTTTTTCTTTGAATCGAATACTACGGTCATTTATGTAAAATTATACACTGAGGTATAATTTCAGTGACCTCACAATATAATCTTTTACATGTTTGTCATTTTAATTACGAAAATTAATGATCCTCGGAATCGACAAACCTGTTATGATATTTACAGTGGTTGAAAACTAGTTGTGGTAACAGTATGTAGCCAAGCAAAAACATTATTGTCATGACCATAATGGTTTGATAAAACACTAAAGTGACTGAATTAGAATTCACTAACAATTGATCCTCACGGGTATATATTCTAGGAAACAAAAGCACTGATCGACTAGCTAAATAAATTGATATATGTGAAGGAACAATTTTTGAGTTAATATCTCCACTTCATTCTAAGTAATGCACTTTGTATCAACTTGAAAAGCAACCGGTTATTATAAACGTGTTAAACAGAAATAAACCCGATATTACTGTGTGTAATTAGCGAAAGTTGTTTAAATTTTGAATTACGGCAAAACCGGAACACCAAGCTCACACCGAAAATGAATTCAAACACCTTTATCTTTTCTTTATCATTTGTTTCGTCGATTAGTCATTACAGCGAGCAAAAAGGTTCGTTGCAAGTAACCAAAGTAGTATATTTACATATTTTCCAAGTATAAATGAGCATCGAATTCCTTCCAAATTGGGTAATGTATCTGGATAATGTCCAAATACAGTCATAATATGTACTTACAAAAGTGCATGTATCACTGGTCTTTAAAATCACAATCAGTTGAACCTAGACGTTTGATGTAAAGTACCAAAGGCTATTGAAATTCGCTTAATTTCGACTTGTGTGACGAAAATGTAAATAAGTGACCCTAATAACCTAAGTATACTGGTGCTAAGAACGCTCATTACGGTTCAAATCATGCTAAATCCCAAAGAAGAGTAGTTTAATATCTTAACTAGGTAAACTAACTAGCCACTTACAATGAAAAGTTAGTTGTATTTATAAAATGTTCTATTATTTGATGAATTGGCACTATTGTCATGATAAAACGCTTTTATAGAGTATTTAAAAAACTGAAACAGTCAGTTTTAACGTAGATCATCTTAGAAAAACACAATTCGGAAATTTACATCCTAGTTATTAAGGCTACCGCCGCACCACTAGCTTCTGTAGAAACAGAAAATCATTTCAGTGAGAACGGGATCTCTCAGTATAACGTGGACTTACTCCAGCATTCGTGAACGTTTACCCACAAATAATCATACACTACTTTAAAGAACTTACGGTAGCGTTAATCCCATCATTAGCACTTAAAAGCACTATACAGATGCAAACCATGATGCATGAAACCCGAATTTTTTTCTGGATTGACTGAAGTTAAGACAACTTATCAATGATTAAAACATAGATAACCAGAATTTTATAACATATTTAGGATTATGCAAACAGAGACAAATAATATAGCATGAATCAGTAGGAAAAATCGAGAACTTACAGCTTCATGAGATAAATAGTAGTCTCCGTTGCTCCCGATAAGAGAATCGTAAAACTGGAGCTCCCTTACTTTGTAGGCTTCAAGATCAGCCCCAGTAAACACAAAGTTCCACTGAAATAAGGTTTCGAACACACATAAATTGAGAGCCATGTCAAAAACAATACTTTTCGATGGGTTCCCACTTCTCCGGCACATAATCAGATTTGCTACATGATTCAATGATGTTAGGACAATTTCGTCCACCGTTGGAGCTAGAATAAGTAAAGACTTGTATGAAAAAAATTACCAGCGTCAACACGAGATAATAAAGTAAACCATGTCACTTTGAACTCGTTTATTATCTGTATGTTGTTTTCATCCTCTTCGGTGAGATGCATTTTTTACCTTTAATTAGGCTTCTGGCAAAATTGTAGTTACTAAGGTACTAAGTACAACGTTATCACATATTCAGCATAAAAGTAAAACTACGACGTTCTATCCCAACCTAATGAAGCGCCACGTGATAACAAATAATGTACTGATTCATTCAAAAAACAGTAGTTAAGTGTGGTCCATAACAAGCTTCTAGCTTACGATCGGCATACCATGAAAATTTCATGTAATAAAGGCGTTTTTGTACATCCTTGATTTGATCGACAGTCTAGTGCTAGTTTATGTTTCAGTTTGGGAGGTGTAGGGATCTGAACGAACTGTGTTGGTCCTAACGGTAGGGTTTTCCAGCTGACCCTACTGCTTTTTAGCAATTCAAAAGACGAAGCTTCAACGACATTTTAAGGTGAGGAGTTCTACTTATTGTCAAATAAACGGAAAAGTCAGTGGTCAGCTGAAAAGTAGCTTGCATACCTTTATATAGTTTCCTCGTAAGTTCTCTGTTCTGGAAGGCAAAAAATTTCAGAGAATGTCAGATGTGTGACTGTTTTTAATTACTTCCAAAGCTGAATTCAAGACACATCTAGCCCTTCTATATGAAATGGGGGACGTGTTTATTTTAGCCAGTCTGGTTGTTTTTAGGCATTACTTAAGTTTCGAAAGAACGAACACTGTATACAAAATGTAAATGATTTTGTCATTTACATGGCTAAAAGCTTTTAGACCGATGTGTGCCTGTACAACAGGTAGTTCAGTATTGTTCACCGTGTATGTATCTACACCTTGATGACCAATATGCAACTTCATAAACTTCAGAGCATTTACTGGCAACCTCAGAGTTCTAAACTGTTCAGATTATTTCCATAGATAATTGTGAAGCTCAAAACCACCACCTACATTGTTAATCCTTCTCCATATCTCAATACCGTCATCATATAACAAAGCCTATGATGAAAATAGTCTTAACTGCTTACTTACGCCTGTTACCTTTCGTGGAGGAGCAGACGCTTTCCACCAGCACTATCATTCGGACTCTGCCCCTTACAATGCTTAAAAAATGTCTCTAATTACCACTCATTCTTTTTACGTCTGATTCCGATTCTCGACGCAGTGTTTTTTGGTCTTTCTCTCCTCCTTTTTCCTCCTGGATTCCATGGCAAGGCTTGCCTCATGATGAAGTCTGATGATTTCCTCTATGCATGTCCTATCCACTTCCAACGCCTTTTCCTAATTTCCTCTTCAAATAGAAGCTGGTTTGTTCTCACCCACAGTAGGCTGTTGTTGATGGTATCCGGTCAACAGACGCTTTCTATCTCGTATAGACAACTGCCTATAAATACTGATAAATTCTTGATAATGGTCGTGATATTTCTAGACGTTTCGGCTTTTTACAGTAGGGCTGTCTTAACGTTCGTATTGAAGATTCTGACTTTGGTATTGGTTAAGCAACAACCTGTTGAAAACGTTTCCTGGTACCGATAATAGTGTGATTCCTCTATAGTTTTTAAATTTGCTCAGATATCCTTTCTTTGCGAACTTGATGAGATATCTTTCCTTCCAGTCTGTCGTCACTTGTTCGTCCTCTCAAATTTTCCAGAATAGCACTTGGAGCATATTTGCAGTTGCCTCTGTGTGTAACTTTAGTTCTTCGGCTGATATGTTGTGATGTCCCGTTGATTTCTCACCCTCGACTTGTACGACTGCCATCCGGATCTCTTCGATCGTTGGTGGAGTGACATCTACAGGGATGTCTGTGTGCTGCTTCGATGTCCGTTGGGCCAAGTGAGGCTGGCTTATTCAAGAGTTCTGTGATGTGTTCTACCCATATATTGCTTTGTTCTTGGATCTCATAGTTCATCTTGCCTTCCTTTTCTTTGACCGGTGCCTCTGATTTATTATATTTCCCAACCAGTTTTTTCGTTGTGTCATATGGTTGTTTCATCTTGCCTTCTCTTGCGGCGTTTTCCGCTATCGTTGCTAAGTTTTCCACATATTTTTGCTTGTCGGCTGTAACGCTCTCCTCCACTTGCTTGTTTGCTTCTGTATATTCAGTATATGCCTGAACTTTCTCTGTTCTTATTCGGCTGTTGTTAATTGTTGTCTTCTTCCGTTCTTGAATCTTGTCCAGGGTTTCGATAGTGATTCATTCCTTATGATGATGCTTCTTGCAGCCTAGCGCCTCGTAACACATTGAATTTAGTGCTTATTTGATCCCTTCCCAATTGTCCCAAGTTCCGATTTCTTCTCCTCTCAGTAGATCCTGTAAAGCTTGGAACCTGTTGTTGAGAGTTATCTTGAGTTGGTTGAGTTTGTCAGTATCTGAAAGGAAGGCTGTATTGAACATTTGCACTGCCGTTTTTCCGGTTGTTCAGTGGTTCTTTAGCTTCATTTTCATCTTGGCAACCAGCAGTTGGTGGTCTGAAGCTATGTTAGCTCCTCTCCTGCTTCGCACGTCTTTCACTAATCTTCTGAACTTTTTATTGATGCAAATATGATCTATCTTGTTCTCTGTGGTGTGGTCCGGTGAGGTCCATGTAGCTGTGTGGATGCGTTGGTGTGGGAACATTGTGGCGCCTATAACCAATTTGTTGAATGCACATAGGATTGGAAATCTCTCCTCATCCTCGTTCTTTTCTCCAAGTCAGTCCATGTCAATCCATGATATCCTCATAACCGTTGTTGCACATTCCGACTTCGACATCTAGATCTCCTAACAGGATGGTCAGGTTCTTTTCTCGGCACTTCATCACGATCGATTACAGCCTCTCATAATACTGACCGTTATTGTCGTCGTTGCTATCGTTGTTTGGTACATGACATTCGGTAACATTCATTGTGATTCCCTCCTTTGTTCTGAGTGATGCTTTGAAGATCCTGGGTCCATGAGATTCCCACCCTGTAAGTGCATTTCGTGCTTCTTTGGACGGCATCGTGTAACTCCCCGAGTTTGTAGAGCATTTTCCTCTTCGTGACCGTAGTACAGAAGAATCTTTCATGTACCTAACATTTGATTTCTAGCATGGATCCAATGGGTTTTGCTGTTTCCGGGAACCTTAAAGTTGTATCTCTTCACTTCCGCAGCTGCTTTCTTGGCCCTACTGGTCTCCCACATTATGCGGACATTCCATGTACCTAAATTAATTGTTACTGTGGTTGTTAAAATGAGCATCGGTATTTAAGTGAAGAGAGACACTACGGAATATTCATCGTCAAAGCATGCCACCTTTCTTTTTCGCTGTTTGGCTTATGTACGTGTTTAAGTGTAATGGATATTCAGTAGATTCTTTAATAAAATTTTGTTCTTACAACCTTCTAGACTAATGTTAGGTTGAGACATAAATATTCACGGCTTCTGGATATTGAGATTTCGACTTATTAGTACCAAGTAACCTTAACCTCTACCACATTCACAGAAAAGTGTACGAAAGTCTTTACTGAATCACAGTAGGTAGTTTCTCCGGTTTTCGGTGTTGTTCAAAGCATGTGAGGTACTATAATGTTCGTGCACAAATTTTGGTCCAAATGTCTAGTCTAATGAGGACTCTGAGAGTACAATTTCTTGAACATTTTCTTTCAAAACGTTTAGTCTGGCCCGAGCCAAAGCATTGTTATTGTCAACAATATGGAAATCAAAAGCTTTATTCACATGGTTGCTTCTATTTAGAGCCAGCATTTTATCGAGGTTTGCAACACCCTTTTAGTGGGTCAACATGAGGCCCAGTAATGTTGATTCGGAGCCTGGGTCAAATTTAGCTGCTTCACATGTCGCACTAAGGCACACATAATATTTACGTTAACTAATGTTTGTTCGAAAAACTTTTCAGATAAATTTGTCCTTAGGTGTCACAACCCAGGTTTAAAAAATATTGTGCACTGGGTAGACGGTCGATAATAAAAAGTAATATATTTTTGATATCCCGATGAGCAGAAATATTGTGTTTTTAAATTTTCTACTCGTTGGGATACCACGAATATATTGTTTTTATTAACTGCATTCTTAGAATTTTCTAGTTCTCATAAGGTTCACCAGAGTTTTTTAAATAAAATGTCGACTACTAGGTGGGCAGTTGTTGAGTTTGTCTAGTCAAGCACCATTGGCTTCGCAGTTTGGACTAGGCTAAATCAATTAGGAGATCTTGACAACTGCACTGCAAGAGGCAAATAATTATAAATCACGTTCCACTTTCACATGATATGTGTTCATTAGCGGCAAACGACATATTATAACTGATGAATAAAGCTATTTCTCATCTAACCTTCTGAGTCCCCTCACCTCTTACTAATATAAAGTCTTCAGTAACCAGTTCCCTATTATGTACAGACCGGGCCAGCCAAATTCCTATGACAGCGATTAAGTTCTGCTTGTCAGAGTCTATTCTTACTCTTAGCCCTCATAGATTATCAGACAGGTTCTTGTGCTTCGTGTAACAGATCCAGAGACTAAATAGATAGCTTCATGCTGAAGTCAGAGTGACTTCAACATATATTTTCCTCCAAGACCTAAAATTTTAAAAATGTACAATGCTGAGGACTTTTTCATATTAGTTTTGGGCACCTAACCTATGAACTCTGAACAGAGTGTTTTAAAAGATATTTTGAGGCTTAATTTGGCTGGAAATAGCTTTTATTAACCTAATGTCGTGCTAAGAATAGTCCTGACCTCACACTGTTAGGTAACGTCGACCCTATGGAAAATAACTGATCTATCACTGTGAACAGTTTTCGATTTCTCAACCACGATTAAGGAAGTCTTGTTTTTCTTTGTGATCCTAGATCTCTTCCTCTTTTCATTCGGCTGATATCCACCGCTCAGTTTTGCTGAAGTTGCAATCAAAGTTGTGTTACATCTAAATTAAGGATTTCAGAAATTTTCTAAAACTTGCGCGGTGACGTCGAATTTTTACTAATTTTTTTGCTAGAAACAAACTTAGCCTAACTAGCGCATTTTCTAGATGCTTCCTAGCTGCAACTACTCAGAGAATTTATGTCATTGTTCTTATCGACAATGCGACCATCATCTGACTCATCTCAACGTAGGCTAGTAAAGTCTCGTTCATCAATATCAACCCTGGCTACATTCCCTGTGCAAATGCTTCTGACGACAAGCTCGTTAGATCTGAGCAGC